CCTGCATACAATGTGTATTCTCCGAGCCGTCTATTTTTTTTAAGTATCTGCGCTTTGTTGAGCTACAAGTTTTGAAAGTGAAAGGACTGAGGGCTGAGTCTTGAAATTCGTCAAAATCAGAATCAGTGGAAATTGACTGATTTTGAGAAATTTGCGAGTCTTGAGTAAAAATCAGTCAGAAACCGAGTCAAAATTGGCTCAAAATCAATCAACTCGTGTTGACATGAGAACATCGAGTCAACACGATTGCTCAATGTCTCAATTTTAAGATTTTACTTCAATTAGAGTATCAAATGGCCATCGATGGCATCGGAAATGGATAATAGAATAATTATTCTAATTGTTTTTAATTTTATATTGATAATTTTCCTTATTACAGCCGAGATATAAGCATCTCTTTTCTTGCGCTCGCGTAAGAGGCTCAGAGATGGAAAATAATTTCTTTCCATGCGCGCTACCGAGTCCCTGAGAGTCCCTCTTTGCAGTGTCGAGGCAACGATAATCCAAATTTTATTATGTCATACATAATCCTTGCCATAAACATTTTCCGTTTTGAAGGTATCTTTAATTGAATGGAATTCCCAAATTCTTCGTCCTTTGCTTAGTGCTTAAGTCTCATGAATTATGAATCAATGAACTGAACATGTGAACATATAAGACAAATCCAAGTGTAATCAGAAGATGAACAATTGGTTCAACAAAAAAAATGGATGGAGAAATTTTTGCAAAGGGGAGGAAGTCGATCTCCATCTCGTGGGGCAACTCAAGATCACTCGCAGAAGTCTCATTCTGCTCCTGGGACTTCTCGTATAACCGCAGGAGAACATCTGTACGTTAATAATGCACATTATTCACATATTTGTCGCCCGAGGGTTAATTTTTAGCCTTCTTAAGGCGCTGAAGACACCCTATGATGATTCTTTGGGGGGTAAAAGTTAAGTTTGAGGAGCATTTTTATCATTTTCTGCCTCAAACACCTCAACTTGGCTCAAATCAAAACAACAAAATGACGTTTCTGCCTGCGTTCCGAAAGCATTTCCCCTCCCGAAAAATTCCGAAGACTGATTCTGACTCAAGACTCACGAAACTTTCAAAATTGTGATCATGTCAACAAGTTAAAAATCGATGAGGTTCTGTTGATTCTGATTTTGACCATTTTCAAGACTCAGCCCTCTGCATAAGCAATTAATTGAGTGTGGGTAAATCTGTGGGACACCCAATGTGAAGCACGCTGTGCTATTCAAATGATGCGCCCATATCTTTCCCTTTTATCTCTCGTTTTTCTGCATTTTTATCACACACTGGGACTTATGATGCTGAAGAGAGGAGAAAAAAGTCAATTTTCCCATAAGTGGACACGAGAGAGAGATGAAAAATGCCATCGTGAAATGAATGCCTTTAATTAAATGCAGCTTTCATGTTTCGCGATGAATAGCCCACGATCATGCCGCGCGACGGTCTTCTTGGTCTTGAAAAGAAGCTGCGGTCAGTTGGGTGACGATCACGAAATCATGCATTTTAATTTCTGTCTGGCTGAATTTCTCTGCCGAGTGAAAATTGAGATGCTACTCGACTTGATCAATCGCTAAAATATCACATCTCAATGTGTCTTCGCCGGACAGGACAGTCTCACGTCCAATGGTGGTAATTCAGTGGAAAACTCGCTGGCGACATTTGTCCATTCGTCATTTGGTGACGGCCACTAATGAAACAGTTAATGGTAGAAAATTGTAGAAATTGCAACATATGTATTTCATTGCTGAGTAGACACAACAAAGTGTGTGCGAGTTCCGAGAAATTTTCATTCATATCTCGAAGCGAGTGAAATTGCAACTTCCAGTGCGTTGATTCACGGCCTTTTTTTCTGCACTCGATTGAAAAAGTGCAATTTCTAATCAATACTTCCCCATTTTTGGTCACTTCACAACCATGCCACATGCTGTGCCATCGCTGGCGATTGAGAATGTGGAAATGGGATCATTGATGGTGTGTTTTTGCAGAAAGTCTCTCTCAATATTGGATATATAATGTAAAAGAAAAAATTGATAACTTGATCGCGATGCCTTTTACCTTTTTCGCGGAAGCTTTTTTCGCCAAGAAATGAGAAGTACTTGTTATTAATGATGATGATTGCACGAGATGGTCTCTGGCCGCTTATCGAGATCGTTAAGTTCAACTTTTGCCTCATTCTCGCCAATTGGATCGTTTTGCCTTAATGAATAGCACTGTGGATCTGCTGGAATCATTGTTTATCACCTAAATATGCAGATTATTTTGCAATTTATTAAGATGTGGTTAGTGACTAGCATTACCAGATTTTCTCACATTTCATTATAAGGAGAAGAAAGCGGTCTAAGCTTTTTTTCTTTCCATTCTGCACTCTTGCAAAATCTTGACTTCATCCAAATAAAATTTGATGAATTGAATTATAACAGTTCTGAATGTGCTAAAATTAAACCAACTCAGACAGTCATCATTATAGTTCTTGGGTGAATATAAACAGTTTAGCAGATAGATTTAGCGAATTTTGGCGAACGTTCCATCGAGCAGATGGTGCAGTGATCCAAAAAACCGCTGTCAGACGGAGTCAATGACTTGGAAAGGCAAATATAGCAGAAGCATCTTAGACATTCGGAAAAGTCGTGGCGCTTTCCGGGCGCACTTCTGGCGGGATTTTTCCCCAAAGAGGAGAGAGAAAGGCGCATTTCTTAAAATACAAACCCGTGAAGTCTCTCGTGCGAGAAGTGGCGGCTTCCTCAGATTAATTAGAAACACTGTGACCGGCTTGTAAGCTGGTTTTTTTGCCTAACGCCTCTCCATGACTTGGCGTTGGAGTCATCATTTTTCTGGGAGAGACCAAAAGTGGATGGAAAAGAATAAAAGAGCGCTGAATCAGACAGATTTTCGGTGTTCTTGCCACTTTTTTTTGCTCGCAGGTTGTCTTGAGAGCTGTTCTCAGAGAGCGTCGCTGGAGTCTCCTTAATTATTTTTTTTGGCTTCTTTATTGAGAACTTCACCCGCTCCAGCGAAGTCACTGTTCGCGTTTCTGGAGGCTGGCAAAAGTAGTGTGTCGTGTCGAAAATGGTGATGATTTTTTTGGCGATGGTTTCTCTGAGGCAAAGTCTTTTACCTTCATTTGGTATGACTTCATCTTGGAATATGAAATTGTGCTCAATTGTGGGCTCTCACTAGTTGTCAGAAAGTTCTTTTCACAGTATCTCTCTGAGGTTTTTTACCCTTCATCGCGGTAATCTTTCGGTCAGAACACTTATTTGTGGGTTGTTCGAGATTGAAGATAGTTTTTGCCGTACATTTCATAAATATGCCATTAAATTACTGTTAGCTGTGGGGATTGTTAAATAAGACTAGGAATGACGGTGAAGTCACTCGTTCTATTTGCAAATAATACATTCTGAAAGTTTATTATTCACCAAGTAGTGTGCGGATTGTTGGCATATGAAGAAAAGAAATTGCTTTGGCTTATTTATGGCGGCACGTCGTCAATAGATGTCATTGACCAAAGCTCTTATCAAAAGTGTCTTCCTTGATTTCATGTTAGCTCTGCTCTTTCTCTCACTCTCACAGACATTCACCATCGCTGGAAATTACAACCAAATGAAAACGATCTCTGCGTTTTTTTTTTTGCTCACAAAACTATCACTTATTTAACGGAATAGCATTTGGAGCTGCTTCGAATGCGAAACATAAGATCCAGCCATAAATTGTCTCATGAATATTTTTAGACCAATTTCCGCGTGCTCGCTTTTAGTGATTGGGCTGGAAAATTTATTGTTGAGGCGCGCGCGTTTTGAGATAATATAGAGGAAATCTCGCTCCTAAATAGAGGTGTTCCGAGCGAAAATGAATTAACATGTCCTCATCAGCGTCACTGCTTCATACTGTCAACAAAAGAATTAATTATAAAGTAAAATAAACATGTGATAGCAGACACAATCAACTCCATTGCTTCCACTCTGACTTGCTCGCGAGCAGTACAAACTGCGTGATAAGATCGGATTGACAATGTTTAGTGCCAATTATATGCTCAACTGATAAAATTATATCAATGCTATTATTCCCTCGCTGTTTCTCCTCAGTCTCAGGTTGTTTCTATTTTTCCAGAAACCGAACGAGTGTAATTGAATTGTTGCTTATTGAAAAGGCAGTTAAATAATAAATGTGCGTGCTTCAATTGTCTTCAATAACATTTATTGTAATCCAATGAAAAACTCTTCCAACATGTATTACGAGAACGATGTGATAAAAAGAGATCACATAATTGAATTGGAACGCTGGTGAAAGAAAGTGGGTGGAAATAAAAATAGATTTCTCTGCAACATATAAAAAAAAACATAACAGACAGTAATTTTAGCTAATTTTCCTTATTGCAAGAATATGTTTTTAGTTATAAAATTAGAAACAAAAAAGTTCAGAGCTTTGTTTGAGGTTCTTTTTCTACGCGAGAAGCGATTCTTTTCTAAGAATTATGCTTCCTTAAACAAAGAATATTTAAATTTTCTAATTTGAGAACGTAGATAAAATACTTTCGCGGTACTTGTATAATTTAAGATGAATTGAGATAACATGCTTTGCTGTGACGTTCCCATGAAAATATTTTTGTGTCTGTATGCAAATTTGCAAGTGATATTTTTCTCCAACAATTCCTTGAGTGATAATTCGTCTGTTCTTCATGCAAGATTGAGACGATGTGGAAAAGAAAAGTTTGTTTACCTAATGCTGGCTGAGGAGAGGGAATTGTTACAATGAAGACGCGAGAGTGAGAGGATAAATTGGGCGGGAGCTTTTTGTATAATAATTTATAATGAAATTCTCACAATTTTCGCACATATTGTGCGACAAAAGTGTGAAAGTTGGATATATTTTTCAGTTTAATTAGGAAGTTTTTCATTAGTTTCCATGGCATATAATTTGAAGAAGATGATGATGAAATCATCAGTGTGACTCCCTATTGATTAGGATCTTTTCTCTTTACTTTCCAGGGAGCATCTCGAAGTGATTTTCACCAGCAACTGATTGTTAATACCTCGCACACTATCGTTTGGGGAAGAGATACTGGAGAGAAGAAGAAATTACCTCCGAGTGAAAATTACACAGTCTTTGATGTGTGCTTCAAGAAGATTTAATAGGCAATATCTTCAGCAGTAATAGCATCATACACGACTCGAAGATACTCAAAGTGAAAATGCTGGATCCGGATTTGGATGAATATCTCTCAGAATATCGCCTTCAGACGCCAGTTGAGCCTATCAGTCACTATGCAGGTGAGTTTTTACTGCGCCAATGATCGGAAATCAATTTTCATCCGACGGAAGTTTCGTGCATATTTTCCCTTCCTCTCATTTTCACTCGATGCCCATCAGCATCGTAGTAAATAAATGCGAGTCTGCACAATTTTGATGATTATTACCAACCTCGTGATTGCCAGATTGGCTTCTCTGCTGGTGAGGCAAAATTTTATATATTATTTAAACACAGACTTCCGTGGATTACCCCATGGCCATGGTAGTCAATGGGGCAGGTTAAAAACGAAGGCAAAACCTTTGTTTCTATGCGATACAGAACAATGCTCCGCGCACTGACTTTACTTTCCTGAAGAACACACACGAGTAATGAGATTCTCAGAAAGGAAATGGCAAAAAGCAGTGCGATTGAGGGACTCAATTAAAGAAAAGCGTGCAGCAGAAAAACTCGAAGGCCTTGTCTTGACTCAAGTATATCAATATTGCTGCTAATCACTTGCAGAGGGCAAACAAGTCACACAATTAGGGCATATTTTGTAAGGAAAAAAACATTTTGTCAGATGGAAGTACATGAATTTAGCCTTTTATCAATAAACTGTGAAGAATGACTATTCATCCATTAATCTAATTAATCAAACAATTCAATGTATTGATTGTTTATATTCTTCTCACAGTTGTTCACCCCTAAGATTCCATTTATTGTTAAATAGGGGAAAATATGTAGCTTGTAATTTAACGGTTGTACCAGAAGCGATAAGACGCAAGAAAAATGTGTGAGAGAGACACAAAATAACCCAGGAAATTGCTGGGATTATGAAATCTGCGACTGTTAGCTCTGAAAGAGATCCAGAGGAGGTGAAAAATTCTTCCTCTTTTGCACAACATCAATGCTATTTCCCTTTTGGCGTTGCAGACCAGCTTCCATACATACATTATGATCTGAGAAAATCCTCGCAAACCACTTTGTTTCGAGCTGTTACATCAATATCACAATTATCAATTACTTAATAATTATATATTCACAATAGAATTTCACATGTTTTGTGTGTCTCAATGTTTTGAAGTGAAAGAAATGTATGTGTATATAAAAAAAAACTTTCATTTCCCTGTCATTTTTATTATATTTTGTGTGTAAAATCTCTGAGAGCATCGAGCAATATTTCAAGAGTGAAGAATATGTTGCAAATGAAACAATAAGCATGTACATTCGAGTGGAAAAATATCCCGAGAAGTTTCCCACTGATGTGTGTTGTTGATTTTCATGTATCAACACCAAAATTGACATGATGATGATGAAGTGGCGAGTAAAAAGAAACACCATCATATGCCATAATTCCACCGTACATAAATTATGTATTACAATGGAGGAAACCAATCTAAGCACGAAGAGCACCTGTGTTGCCGGCCAAGGCGGCAGAATTGGGGTAAAAAATTGCAAGAGGGCAAAAAACACTCCGCATAATAACCCAAATGAATCACAATATTTACTCGGGAGTCTTAATGGATGCGATATTAGTGCTGTAATGATGCGTTTTCACGTGTTCGAAAATTATATATGTACATGGAAATATCATTAAATTGAGTGTAATATATCGTGATGCAGAAAATTAGACATTGGAACTATTTTTCGCAATATGTTTGTGTGCCGCTTTTGCGTCATATCTTATTGCTTTATTTATTGAGCGTGTAAATTTTGAATTTGATAATTTAAGTAAAGAATTGTTTCAAATAGTACACATTAGTGAACGACATTCATTTTTTTATTCATTTTTCATCCTCAATTTTCTCTCAATTTATCTCTTGAATATTTTGAGATTAGGATTTGCCTAATTCTACGTACACTTTTTGCCAATTGTTGATGCGGAGAAAAGTGGAATCAAGAGCAAAGTGCTCTAATACGCGACGACGACCATGAGAAAGCGACGGCGACGTCCGAGATATTTTTTCACACACTCTGAGAAATGTCTTGTGATTTGTTCTGCCAGGTTGTTTGCTATAATTAACAATTTCTTGTAGGAGATTATGATTGTGGTGGATGAGGAAAAAGAGTTGGTAGGCGAAAAAAAGTGAAAAAGTGGCTCAGCCTCGCGTATTACTCTAGTTTTTGAGCACGAAACCGTCATGACATAATTAATGATGAATTTTATTTAATTACTCGAGACTTATGAGGCACTTTTTTCATCTTGTTGTGATCTTGCAGATGGTGAACTGGAGGCTCAGTGGCTCATGGCAGCTGGATTCCCACATTTGACACGTGCTTTCGAAGAGGTATGTTTCAGTTTGCTCATTGTATTCATACCAACACTTGGAAATTTCATCATGCAAATAGGCAAATCTTCGCAGCGAAGATTAAGTGAATTTCACGGTTATTTTCTTGCAATGAAGTCTCATCATTTTCTCTATACGGCTTGTTTATCTTTTTTTCCGACGCTTCGCATAAAATGTGTGTCTCCTAATCTCGAAGCTTGTTTTGTCAATTTTTGACGCACCAGATATTAAAAAATTGCCGCCCAAGTGGAAGATTTTAATTTTACTTAAGGAGGCAATTTGTATTTATTTAATACTTTCTTTTGTGTGTCTCGCAACACGACAAACATCCAAGCCGGAGGATAAAATATCGCTGCGGTTGAACAAGAGAAAGTATCCGCAATGGTATTTTGGTCTCCTTCATGCCAATGCGGTGTTTATTTGATAAATCTATTGAATTAAACCTGAAGCGTCTCCCCATATTGATTCACTCGCATTCGCGGAATTCACTGCATCACTCATTTTTCACCTGAAACCATTCCTGCGGCGTGATTTCACCTGGCCGGGGAATTTTCACCAGGGCGAGAGGATAGGAGCTCGAGATTTATTGCCTTTCCTTTCTTCCACTGCAGGGTCGTGAACTTCCCACTTCCGCGCTGACGGCCGCCCTCTCTGGACTTTCACAGTCGCATGCAGAAGCGGTCAAACAGAGAGTAAAAGCCTTAAATAGGACGGTTCGCGGCCGCACAAGGTCGCGCCATCAAAGAAAACCGGATATCAGAGATGTCTTTCGCGATGTCGATGTAAGTCTCTACACCATCATATTTGCATCTTACCTCTCTTGCCAGCCCAAACCTCAACCTCACTCTCGCGATCGCGTGTTATATTTTCTCCTGCCGACTTTAATGTGGCTTAAAAGAGAGTCTGATGACACGTTTCGATGATAGTGGCCGTTTTATGTGTATGAATAATTAAAATATCTGTTGCATTTCTTACCTCTCGGCAGACATCGAGCACGGGAACCCGCTCAAGAAGTGCAACACCAGATTCACTTGATTCAATTCCAGGAGATGAACATTGGAATACTAATCAGCAAGTGTAAGTAGTTTTTATCTTCACTCTACGTGCTTGCTTTTAGCAGTTTATCTAGTTAAGTCTTGGGGAAGTACTTTACTTGGGTGTTAAATGCAATTATTTATTGGCGGAGTCTCAAGAAAATTCATTAACGAGACTACTTTAGAAGATTTCTGTGCAATAGTTTGCAATCTTTGTTTTCTTTTAAAATTCCATCTACTCTTTTTGTGAGCCTTCAAAAACCCACAAAAATCTAAAAATACTGAGAGCAATTGTTTCTGCAAGACCTTAACATAGACCCCATTGTAATTGCGCGCGTAAACTAAGAACAATGATTACCATCTCTTGCCCACCTTTTCACCTCATGCGTCCACCTTCTCGTTTGCTGGGAGAGATAAAAATTCTTGAGCATCCCACGGGCTTGGGACGACATATCAAGTGAAGCCCGCGTGTAAATTGCACAATTTGTTTCATTGAAGAGTCTTTTCAAGAGCAAATACCTCTTCAATGGCATCTCGCAAACACAGCGCGGCTAATTAATTACTGGAGGGGACTCTTTTGTGATGTGAGCAGAGATTACAGGTGTGGCTGAAGAATCACCTTTGTTGTCCGCGAAATGGAGATGATTAATTTTACATACGAGCCACACTCACACAGAACATATTCTTTAATTTGCATTTTTCCTACATGACCGCATCTTGCAATCGCTGTGCTATTAATTCCAAACGTGTCAATACGTAATTGTTACCGGGGTTGAATTGATACGGATTGCATTATCACTTACACAGTGTTTGCTGACAGTCACGATGAGTGGAGCGAAAAAGTCAATTAAGGAGCAAGAAGAGGCAAAAGTGAGTGTGGAAACTGCTAATTGACCTGTTGAAATTTTTCTTGGGAAGGTGTGCAAGAGAGAAATTAGCGATTACTTTCGGCTGCCCAATATTTTTTGAGAAATCAGCCTCTCTAAGTATTTCTTCATGTGATTTAGAAAATATAGGGTAGATTGTGTGTGAAATCAGAGTAGTTCGTCCTTCACGGCTAATGTTTTTCCGGTAAGAAAAATTCTGCGTGTCATGATAGAAAATCCCCGCAAGAAGATCTAGTTTCGCGAGATTTGGCTGCAAAATTCGTAGAGTTGTTGTATAATGTTGGGATGTTCTTGCAGGCCGAGCTTCGTGTCGATCTTCGATGGCGGAGCCACGCTGCCCACTCTTCCTCGCAGCAAGCAGCACCTCAGACGAACCCCCAGTGCTCCTCTCAGGGGCTCCGCTGAGCTCTTCAGAGGCTCCCACGTGCGCTGCGACATTCCCTTCTTCACAGAGGGCATCGAGCTAGTAGGCTTCCAGCGCCTGGGCACAATTCACATCCCGCGCGTACGTTCCGGCTCTGATCCCTCGTGCTCCGTGGGACGACGCAACGGCAGCAACATTCTCACCGGCAGGCTCTATGGTGAGCGCAATGAGGACTCCTCGCAATCCTCGTCGCCTCTGGAGAGTCCCACCAATTCCCCACCTCGCAGCAGCCCTCTCGAGTCAGCGGCCGAGGAGGACTCTCCGTCATCCAGACGATCCCCTGAACCCGTGAGCTTCGAGGGACTCTGTCGGCAGAGCGCAAGCACCGGAAGCAGCATCTGGATTCGCCGAGAGCCGTGCTGCGACGTTGATGATCTCTGCGAGAGTGACTTGAAGAAGATCCAGCCGCTGCTGTGGTTGGAGTTGGCGGCGCTCTTCGACCGGCATCACATTGTCCTGGACAAGAGGAAGCCCTTCAAGCGGAAAAAGAAGGAGGAAGGCAACGTGTTCGGCGTGTCTCTGAACGCCCTCGTGCGCAGAGATCAGCAAACCACGGGCGAGGATACGTCTCTCGTGCCGCTCCTGCTTCAGGGAATCCTGAAGGAGCTCGTGAGTCGCGGTGCCAAAGAGGAGGGAATTCTCCGTGTTGCTGGCAATAAGCAAAAGGTACTCAACTAAAAGCGTCTTCTGTCCATTTCTCTCCTTATCTCACACTGGCGACTTCCTTGCAGATTGAACTTGTTTATGCTGATCTGGAGCAAAACTTTTACTCCAAGCCGGAGAAAGTTGAACCGCTTCTTCGACGCTGTGGGGTCCACGATCTCAGTGCTATTCTCAAGAGGTGGCTCCGTGAGCTGCCGCAGCCACTTCTGGCCAATGACTTGATCCATCTATTCTACCAAACACAAGGTGAGTTAAACATGCCACTCACGCGAGCAGAAGCTCACTTTCCACCTTCTTCGCAGCCATTCCGCCTGAGGATCAGGGCAAGGCTCTGTCAGTACTTTGTCTACTGCTGCCGCATGAGAATCGCAACACCCTCCGGGCTCTGCTGGATTTCCTGCGAACCGTGGTGGCGCTGCAGAGTATCAACAAGATGTCCAATCACAACGTGGCCACAATCATTGCGCCATCGCTCTTCCCGCCAAGGTGAGTTTGTGAGCTGTATTGGCAAAAGTGGTGCTGACTTCATAAGAATTGCCATTGGACTGAAGAAGAAACCGTGCTTCCTCTTCTTTAAATAAAATAATAATAATATAATTCAGGAACTTGATGGATTGCTCTTTATTTTGCCTTGAGCTTTAATGGAAGTTTAGATTGTGATTCTATTTATTTACATATATTGACGCGATAGCAAAGGAAATCTATTATATTTAATTTAATTAAAAATTGCTATTATGTTTTGATCAAGTTTCCTGAAAATTCTTTTCATTCCCATGAACAAGTTTCTAAATGAAACAATTTGAGTGCATTGAAAAACTTAAGACGTCTTTCCTAAAATACTTAATCGAACATTTACGCATCGGAAAAGAGAATCTATAGTAGGAAATTGAACAATAAATGTTTATCTCTCATTGCTTTTAAGTGTTTTTTTCCCGATCATGAGAGCTTCATTCTATTGTAAGATAAAACCTAATAAACATTAGCTTAGAGAGAATCACAACAAAAAAGACAATAAAATGATTACAATGAGCATAATTTGGCAAGTGTGCTATTAATGACTGATCACTGTGAGTCTCTTGCCACGAAAGATAAAAAAAACGTCTATAAATCAAGTCTCTTTCTTTATAATAGTTTTGTGAATATTGAAAAAGCACTTCTTTGTTGGAGCACCTGCTTGATTGTCCATAAATTTTCGCACGACTTGCTTCTGATCATCGCTGATGGCTTCTTCTCTTCCTCTTCCAGGTTCGTCCATCCGGGAGACAAGAACGACATTGGCGCGCAGGTGCGAATGGCGGCGCAGTGTTGTCACCTGACGGACATCCTCATTAGCCAGGAGGAGTCCCTGTGGATGGTGCCGCAGCGGCTGCTGGACGAGGCGCGATCGATGAACAAGCCTAGGCTGACCAAGCGGCAGGCTCGCAAGACGAAGAGCGAGTCCAGCGCGGAGATTCGTCTCAACCACAATCCCAGCCACATCCACAGGCTAGTCGTGTGACCGTCACACTCTGGAGGTCATCTCAAGATCGTGTCTCAAATTGCATTGTTGCTATTTAGTTCTACTTTGCGCTACCACAATCGAAATGCTGAATTTCACTAGTGTTACAACTTAGGGATGTAGTGACGTATATTCTGTAAATAGTAGATTTTATACTCTTAGCAGTGCGACCTTCTTTCTGGAAAAAAAAATCACTTTCTGGCAAGAGAAGCTCACGGAGAAAGCGACGTGCTGACTCAAATTAAAACAAGTCAATTGATATCTGCTAGTTTGTCGAGTTTTTTTTTTAATAGTGTCTAAGAACAAATGTGAAGTCATATTAATAAATTTTTGCATACAAATTGGATGATGTTTCACTTCTTCCGCGGCGAACACTGTTGACATGCAGAGGTGTGATTGAGGATTGGGAAAGTGCGAAAAAACATACGTTGAATATTTAAAAAATATGTTAAATTCGGTATTTATCAATTCAGATAGTATCGGATTAGTTGTTTCGACTTCATGATGTCCAATTTGGCTTTTTCCTCAAATTCTGATAGTTTATGCTAAGCAGATGCAAAATTGTGATATTATTATTGAAATATGATATGATTAAAGTTTTTTTTGTCACCTCTTCTGTACGAAATCGGCTAAAAATTAGGTAACATGATGTACATATTCGTGCGCATTCGCGCGTAAGAGCGAAATAGAGTTTTTATGCGCTTGAAAATCCAACAATTTTATAAACGGACTCTTCCTGAAAAGAAAAACTGTAAGATTGTCTGGAAGATTGTAATTTTTATGTTAAAATTCTCTCAATTTTATTTTAACCGTTTGCATTTAAATTACATATGTTTCATTGTGGTTTCACCAACCCGATGAAACACACAACCCGGAAACCCTTCAAATGCATTGACTAGATATTTGAAATAAAGCAGTTTGTTTTAACTTCATATTGTTTAGAATAGTGAACTAAATAAATATGTCTCTCGTAATCCAATATGATGAAACACACATTCTTCATTTTATATGAAATTTGTGTGTGTATGAACACAAGCGGAGCTCGTGTAATGAGACTGGCTTATTACAATGAAGACCTAAAAGTGCCACAGGGTGTCTCACAGCAACTGCGCCTAATCATCCACATTCGGTGATATCATCTTATCAATTTATGCAACATTTCTCATTTCAGACCCACTAAATATTTGCATTGCCATAAATCTCCAGAAGAAATTACACTTTTTCTCCAACTCACCTTTATCTCGGGCTGTAGGCGAGAAATGGTTGGGACTTCTCGAGTTACACTCGCCACTTCGTCCTCTCTTTCCAATCAGTTACTTCTTGAGCGTTGAACAAGTCACTTGAATTTGCATGATTAATAGAAACATATATACTGCGATCTTTAAGGTGAAAATAAGGTGAGTGTCGTGTGAAAAGTGTGAATCAGGAACGACATTTTGCTGTGCTTTGAATGAAGAATTTCTTCACGATGGCGAGCGAGAGAACACCGCTCACTACGGATATTCCTCCGGGTCCCTCCTACGTATTTCCCCGAGGATTCAACACTCGAGCTCGACAGCGACAAATCCGGCAGTTTCAGTGCTGCATTTGTGCTACATTTATGTGAGTTGCAAAGGGTTAATCAATGAGAATGTAGTGCGATTCATTCACTTCTGATTTCAGGGTGATTTTCATTGTGGCTCTGGTTATAACTGTTTCCTACACTTTGACTGCCGGAGGAGGCGGTCCTGTGGACAATTCCACCAGCACCCCGGCGTCATTTGCTTTGGAGAATGACACAGACACTCAATCTAACATCACAGACGGAGCTTTGGACGCGACAACGCTTGAAGCCTTCCAAGTTCTATTGCAACTCAGTTGGCCAATTGCAGGTAACACATTTCTATTTATTCATTCCTTGACTCATTCCATTAGGAATTGATCATTTGATATTTGATTTTAGATGAAAGTCCAGACAATTGGACGCTGCCTGAGCCCACGGAGAAGGAAATTAAGGAGTCCGTGAGTGCTGGGAAGAAAGCTCTAGGAGACAAGGAGATTCTTGAAGAGGGAATTCCCAGTCCAGATTCCGGGACACCATCTTTTCGCCACCAGAAATCGATAGTATCAACTCCTGAAGCTAGGGTCATCACGAAGCGTGGATTCGTAGAGAATCAGGCGACAAAAGACTTTCTTTCGCGACATAACAATGCCACTCGCTCAAGACGCAACTCTGCAAGGAGACACTCTGTTGGCCGGGGCATTCCCATTGATTTGGGTCAACCTCCAATCCAACTGAATTGCTCTCGCATATCCCACATTTATCGCACAGCCAATGGAAGCTGCAACAACAAGGATAATCCCCACTTTGGAGAATCACTGACACCCTTCAGACGCATCCTGAATCCTGACTATGCGGATGGCGTTGAAGAACCCCGAATGTCTGACGATGGAACAAACCTGCCGTCTGCCAGGAGGGTGTCCTTGGAGATGCACAGGCCTTCTTTTGAGTCCGATCCCAAATTCACAGTCATGATGGCGGTTTGGGGTCAGTTTCTGGATCACGACATAACTGCAACTGCTCTCAACCAGGGTCAGAATGGTCAACCGATAGACTGTTGTTCGCAAGAAGCGCAGCAGCATCCGGAGTGCTTTCCAGTTCCGATCGGCAAAGATGATCCCTATTTCGATGAATATAACGTCACTTGCATGGGATTCGTAAGATCTGCTCCTGCACCAACTGGCAGATTCGGCCCCAGGCAGCAGCTCAATCAAGCCACTGCGTTCATAGACGGATCTGCTGTGTACGGATCCACCAACAGTCGGACGTGGATGCTCAGGGAGAGAAGAGGAGGCCGTTTGAGGATGTTCCACACACCAGACAATCGCACTCTCTTGCCAATCTCCACAGATCCCGCTGATGGATGCAATGATGCTGAGCAGAATGCTGCTGGAAGGTATTGCTTCGATACCGGAGATCCTAGGGCCAATGAGAATCTCCTGCTCACATCTATGCACCTACTTTGGGCACGACATCACAACAATCTGGTGGAAGGACTGAGCAGTGTGAATCCTAATTGGACGGACGAGAAGCTCTTTCAAGAGGGCAGAAAGATTCTTGGCGCCCAGATTCAGCACATCACATACTCAGAATTCCTTCCAATTCTGCTCGGATGGGAGTTATGTGAGCACCTCAACCTCCTGCCAAGCAATGTAAGTTCTATCCCTATATCAGTTCTCTTTTAACATGTGTTTATCTTATTTTATTTTAGAAAAGTGAAGATACTTATCGCGATGACGTTGATCCAACAGTTGCAAATAGCTTCGCTGCAGCTGCTTTTAGATTCTCTCACAATTTACTCCCAGGACTAATGAATTCCACTCGCGATGGCAATACCACTGAATCTATCCATTTGCACATGATGCTGTTCAATCCCTTCTCCTTGTGGCATCCTCGAGGTGTGGACGAAGCTGTTGCAAGCGCTGTGGATACGAGCTTATCTCGACCGAATGCTCGATTTACGACAGAACTTACCGAGCGACTCTTTGAATCGCCAATGGAAAGCAGACCACAAAAGCCGTGTGGACTCGATCTCGTGTCTCTGAATATTCAGCGGGGAAGGGATCATGGACTTCCTGGGTATCCTGAATGGAGAAGGAAGTGCGGCCTCTCACGAGCGGACTCATGGCAGAAAATGCGTGGAATTATGGGCCCTGAGAGTGTGCAACGCTTGCAAACACTTTACCAGCGTCCTGAAGATGTCGATGTCTATACTGGAGCTCTTCTGGAGAAGCCAACAAACGACTCTCTCGTGGGTCCTGTGCTCCTCTGCATGCTGGGCGATCAGTTCGTGCGTCTCAAGGAGGGAGACTCTTTTTGGTATGATCTCAACTCAAAATAGAGCGTAGAGCATCTCTTATTCTTATCTTTCTCAGGTATGAACGAACCCAAGGACCTCAACGTTTCACACCAGCTCAAAGGAATGAGATTCGTAAGACCACACTGGCTGGAATTATTTGTGCCAATGCAGATGCAGTGGATCAAGCCCAAAAGCAAGTAATGCGAAGTGTCGACGATGATAATCAAATTGAAGATTGTGATTCTCTGGATTCTTTTGATTTTACTCCATGGAAAGAAAATACATTCCATGGAATTAAGGTAAATTCAGGACAGGCTAAAGTGTCAGCGCATCATTCGAAGAACAGAAATGTAACTAAACCATTAGATTAGTTGTGGGAATATGTTCCCAATTCAACCTAAAGTCATGGAAAAAGTGCAAAAATTCATAAGAATATATCAGAATTCGCTTATTGTTTCATTCGAAATTTTTAATACAAAATATGTTTACATATAAGTTGGTTAAGGCTAAAAGCTGGGTCTTGAAAATATTGAATTTTAGGCCAAAATAAATGAAAGAATCTTCGGAGGTGTTTTGCGTATATAAATAAGATCATTCACCGCCATAAAAACTCACTAAAAGGTAAGAAATTTTAGGTCTCGTCCAAGAATAATTTACAATTCTCTCTCATACATTATTTCATGAAATTGTGAAACATCTTGCTTTCACTTTCGCTCTCTTTGCTATGTTATGTTATAAGTTTCTTATCATTCAAATGTTTGTGTTTCGCGTGACTCATTTTAAGTCGTTTGCTTATATTGTCTCAAAATTGCAACATTAGCAGTAAATTTCCATCCAATATCTTAAAAGCGTTCTCTCGAACTATCGTTTTCTAAACTTTATTTTCCCCCAATCGACTTCAATATCGCATTATCGTCACACCGTCACACCTACAATTGAAGCCATAATAGTGAATTGGCCGTGTGTGTTATTGATGGGGGACTTACCCTGTGTATTACTCACTGGAGTGCATTAAGCTTCATTTCGCTTCATTTACAATTTGTGCACAAGTTCGAGTAAGTTATCAATACGCGGTATATTTCCAAATTAAGTTATTATTTAATACCCAGTTAATCACTTGTGAAAATTATCACTGTTATTGAGCTGGCGATACGGGCAATTCTGGCGGTAGTGGAGAATCGCTGAAGACCACGACAGTATCAGCAGTGTGCCGAAGATTATCCACACGGAAATGAAGAGGAGCCTCCGGAAGATTGTCCATCCAGGATGAAGGCTGTAAATTGTCACTTCGTCCACCGTTAAGACCTGCCGAATTCTCAAGTGGAGATAAGCGTTATGGAAAATTTTTCCACATCTCATTACATTTTCGGCGCATTCTCTTACTCTTCCTCTTCACTCGAGAAGCTGTCTATACGTCCATTTTCCACTACTTCGATGATATATCCATTCAGAAGAGGAATTCGCTCTCTATCCACTGACATCCTGGCAAATTGACACTTTTCCTGGCACTCTGACACAAACTCACAGACAAACTGAATGCAGATGCTTCGGCGGTTGCTTCACTTCTGCTGACTGAGACTAAAGCACCATGGCATCCACAATGTTTACTTTCTGGAGCTGCTGGAGATAATGTCGGGGGATTAGTTATCAAGCAGTGAGAGTCCAAATGTGGCTTTATAAATTATTTCCGGCAATTCCAAAAGATATTTACTCTACTTACACGTATGAGAATTAGCAAAGTATGTTGCAAAAAGATTTCATGACAGCGAAGCCATAAAAGTAGGTGAATGACAATACGTTCACACGTTAAGTGATATTGTACTTGGCATTGACGCATAATCTCATTTTATTTAAATATCTGCTTGCAAGGAGAAATTTCATAAATTTATTTATTAATAAAACCCAACATATAATTTTAATTCTAATATCTTGAATTATGCGATTAATGTAAATAAGGAAACAATAAAAAGAATCAAACTTAGTGAAAAATTAGAACAGCCGCCTGGAGACGGTGTTGTGGGCTCTGCTTCTGCGCTACTCGTTGTTTCGATTGATTCTGAACTTGTCTCAGAATGAGTTGTTTGATCGGTTGTTGATTCAGAAACATCCGTTGATTCACTAAATTCTGTTGACGTCCCTGGTTCGATTGTTGTCGAAGTGAATTGTTCTGTTGATTCACTAAATTCTGTTGATGTTTCCGGCTCGGTTGTCGTCGAAGTGAATTCTTCTGTTGATTCACTAAATTCTGTTGATGTTTCTGGCTCGGTTGTCGTCGAAGTGAATTCTTCTGTTGACGTCTCTGGTTCGATTGTCGTCGAAGTGAACTCTTCTGTTGATTCACTAAATTCTGTTGATGTTTCTGGTTCGATTGTCGTCGAAGTGAACTCTTCTGTTGATTCACTAAATTCTGTTGACGTCTCTGGTTCGATTGTTGTCGAAGTGAATTCTTCTGTTGATTCACTAAATTCTGTTGACGTCTCTGGTTCGATTGTTGTCGAAGTGAATTCTTCTGTTGATTCACTAAATTCTGTTGACGTCTCTGGTTCGATTGTTGTCGAAGTGAATTCTTCTGTTGATTCACTAAATTCTGTTGACGTCTCTGGTTCGATTGTTGTCGAAGTGAATTCTTCTGTTGACGTCTCTGGTTCGATTGTTGTCGAAGTGAACTCTTCTGTTGATTCACTAAATTCTGTTGACGTCTCTGGTTCGATTGTTGTCGAAGTGAATTCTTCTGTTGATTCACTAAATTCTGTTGACGTCCCTGGTTCGATTGTCGTCGAAGTGAACTCTTCTGTTGATTCACTAAATTCTGTTGACGTCTCTGGTTCGATTGTTGTCGAAGTGAATTCTTCTGTTGATTCACTAAATTCTGTTGACGTCTCTGGTTCGATTGTTGTCGAAGTGAATTCTTCTGTTGACGTCTCTGGTTCGATTGTTGTCGAAGTGAACTCTTCTGTTGATTCACTAAATTCTGTTGACGTCTCTGGTTCGATTGTTGTCGAAGTGAATTCTTCTGTTGATTCACTAAATTCTGTTGACGTCCCTGGTTCGATTGTCGTCGAAGTGAACTCTTCTGTTGATTCACTAAATTCTGTTGACGTCTCTGGTTCGATTGTTGTCGAAGTGAATCTTCTGTTGATTCACTAAATTCTGTTGACGTCTCTGGTTCGATTGTTGTCGAAGTGAATTCTTCTGTTGACGTCTCTGGTTCGATTGTTGTCGAAGTGAACTCTTCTGTTGATTCACTAAATTCTGTTGACGTCTCTGGTTCGATTGTTGTCGAAGTGAATTCTTCTGTTGATTCACTAAATTCTGTTGACGTCTCTGGTTCGATTGTTGTCGAAGTGAATTCTTCTGTTGACGTCTCTGGTTCGATTGTTGTCGAAGTGAACTCTTCTTTGATCACTAAATTCTGTTGACGTCTCTGGTTCGATTGTTGTCGAAGTGAATTCTTCTGTTGATTCACTAAATTCTGTTGACGTCTCTGGTTCGATTGTTGTCGAAGTGAATTCTTCTGTTGATTCACTAAATTCTGTTGACGTCTCTGGTTCGATTGTTGTCGAAGTGAATTCTTCTGTTGACGTCTCTGGTTCGATTGTTGTCGAAGTGAACTCTTCTGTTGATTCACTAAATTCTGTTGATGTTTCTGGCTCAGTTGTCGTCGAAGTGAATTCTTCTGTTGATTCACTAAATTCTGTTGATGTTTCCGGCTCGGTTGTCGTCGAAGTGAATTCTTCTGTTGATTCACTAAATTCTGTTGATGTTTCTGGCTCGGTTGTCGTCGAAGTGAATTCTTCTGTTGACGTCTCTGGTTCGATTGTCGTCGAAGTGAACTCTTCTGTTGATTCACTAAATTCTGTTGATGTTTCTGGTTCGATTGTCGTCGAAGTGAACTCTTCTGTTGATTCACTAAATTCTGTTGATGTTTCTGGCTCAGTTGTCGTCGAAGTGAATTCTTCTGTTGATTCACTAAATTCTGTTGATGTTTCTGGTTCGATTGTTGTCGAAGTGAATTCTTCTGTTGACGTCTCTGGTTCGATTGTCGTCGATGTGAACTCTTCTGTTGATTCACTAAATTCTGTTGATGTTTCTGGCTCAGTTGTCGTCGAAGTGAATTCTTCTGTTGACGTCTCTGGTTCGATTGTCGTCGAAGTGAACTCTTCTGTTGATTCACTAAATTCTGTTGACGTCTCTGGTTCGATTGTTGTCGAAGTGAATTCTTCTGTTGACGTCTCTGGTTCGATTGTCGTCGAAGTGAACTCTTCTGTTGATTCACTAAATTCTGTTGACGTCTCTGGTTCGATTGTTGTCGAAGTGAATTCTTCTGTTGACGTCTCTGGTTCGATTGTCATCGAAGTGAACTCTTCTGTTGATTCACTAAATTCTGTTGACGTCTCTGGTTCGATTGTCGTCGAAGTGAATTCTTCTGTTGACGTCTCTGGTTCGATTGTCGTCGAAGTGAACTCTTCTGTTGATTCACCAAATGCTGTCGATGTCTCTGGGTCAATGGAAGGCGATTCATCAGTTGCTAATTCGATTGGTTCTAACGTTGAATCTGTTGCCAGATCTTCATCATTGAACACTGAGAATTATATATATGTCACGTTACAAATCGTTAAACCTTTTTTTTATTGTTAAACTACTACTTCACCTTTTTCACTGTTATTCACCATAATGTAGTTTTCCATAGATAAATTTTCTCTCCAAACACTTAATGTATCACTGAAAATAATATTCAATTTCACACATTGAGCTTAAATGTTGATCATGCATACTCACTTTTCCTGCACAATTATGGGATTTGCACTGATTAAAGTCACTAATGCCAAAGTGAAATAGATCTTCATTTTGGCAATAATATTTACACCAATTCTGTTCTCTGAAAGCAACCTGAAAGAAATCGTAGCAAGAACTGACTCAAACATCGCACCTTCGTCATTTTTATAGTTTTTGGGCAGAAACGATATCGGTACTCAATTAGAATTTCTTTATTGCGTACTTCAATTTTGCAGAATTGGAAACCTCTTCTGAGTACGACACACAATTTAACATTATATATTTGGCATTATCTGTGAGCCTTATCTGATAAACTTATTAATTGGTAATTAAAAATTATTTTTATGCTATTATCGGTTATGAATAGAAGCTTTAGATTCGAAAGACACAATATATATTATCACCAAATGAATCATAACAATTTTTATGCAAATGCGAATGATCTGATACTGTTTTGAAGAACAATTGCAATTAGAGATAGTGTGAAGAGGGGAAGAAGTGTGGACGATTTATTTGTTTCCTGAATTGTCAGGATTTCTGTTGTGGATTGTGAAAAGTTTGAGTCAAGAATAAAAAATATACTTGAATCTTCGTGACTTTGTAAATAAATGTCATTGATTGTAGATTCACTTGCACTTTCCATTTCTAAGATTATTGTCTGCATTGTAGCGATTGTTATTGTGGAAGTTTCTGTCGCGTTTGATTCTGCATAAAATGATTTATCTGTAGTGTTTGAATAGTTCGTCATATTATGGAACACCTCTATTGAAACCAATTCAATGGATTTGTCTAAAACCAAATTGTCTACGGATGTTTCGTTTTTTTCTGGATCTCTTACAGATTCTGCATTATTCGATTCGCCATTTTTTTCAACTGCTTGCAGATTATCCTTATCGTTTAATGACAAGCCAGGAAGTGAGAGAACTGGAGTTAGAAGACCGCTAATAATTGGTGCATCTCTGGGTAAAGCGAGAAAAGAATGAGTATGAGCTTAGTGTATCATTTAGAAAGCATGACTTACTTGATAACACTTGAGAAATTCAGCGGAACCGCAGATACTGAACCGATGATTATTCCGGACAGCAGAGAATTGATAAAAATTCCTCTCGCGCTTCGATTCATCGTGTCTAATTTCTACCAGAGTTGAAAAGCGACTGCAGAATTACTCTGTATGAATTCAAGTTTTATAATGCTCACTAATTTGCATAATAATTTTTTTTTTAATTTGAGTGTATTCAAAACAATATGACAATTAGTCAAAATCACATTGTCAATCATTTTCAATATCAATGAAAATTATAGAATGCGGGTTGAAGAAAGAACTTTGCGGAAGGAAACATTTAGAGCAAAACAGTTGAAAGTCAGGCTTGTAGTATTTAATTATTTTATTTATTCTTTTATGGGAAAACATCAACAATTAAGATTTATCTTTTATTATTAGGATATTAAATATTTCCATCATAGTTTTTTTTTATTTTCCTTAGGATAATCCACAGATTATTTTCATTCTACCATTGATTTGCATTTTAAACGGTAAAAGTATTGATAGAAATTCTTTTTTCATGTTAAATTAATGTAATTTTAAAAGTATATTAAAATTAACGTAAATTTGAAAAACTTCCTCTTCACTTTTTTAAAGTTCCTATACACTGTTGAATTCTCAGCTTTCAGCGCTCATTCTCATTTTCGTTCATTTTAAATTCAATGATAGATTATACAGCTATTTATCAATTACATTTATAATAATAACAATTCATTATAAAGTAATTACAATAGGTAACAATTTTTCACTTTACTGATAATGTAGGGTCCTATGATTTCCTTGGTTTACGTTTTCTTTACGAGGCCTAAACCCAGCAATTACGCATATTTTCTGCGAAGATGATGCCTCAAATCGCATTCATGTCTTGTAAATCGCTCTTTTTTTACCTAAAAACATACGATTGGTTTTGTGGCAGTTCAGAACGAATTTGAATTGTCCAAAAATTTATCTCTATTGATGTTCCAAATTTTTTTTTGTATGTATAAAATCATTTCATGTTAAGTATATAAACTACTAATATTCTTTTTGTATTTAAATTGGTCGCCAGCAATGATAAATTGAAATTTTTCCCATCAATTTCTTTATGTTAATTTCCAAATATTCATTAGAAGATAGAAATAATCATAGAAATAAATTGGTTCCGTTGAAAATTGTCATTGATATTTATGATTTTTTTTTCCTTTCTCGACTATTTCATTTCAAACATTATAACAAAATTTGCGCGAATATCTCTCCAAAGTTCTCTGTTTCATTGTCAAATGACGCATGTTTCTACTACACAAATTAGTAAAAGATTTATTTTTATTAATTCTTTTAAAAATCAGTCCATTAGTGATGTTTCAGCGTGTTTATCGGTTTTTTTTTCTTTACTATCATAGTGTATAAACTTTATTATTCGTCAAGGATTTTCAATTTCAAAGATAGGTTTTTTTTGGTTCTTTATGTGCCACTGGAAATGCTCATAAAAACAATGATTTAGGAACAAAAAAGATTTCAATGAATCGATTAGTATAAGAAGGTCTTTTGAGATGTTAAATGAAATTGGTAACGAGAAAAAGTAAATAAGACAATTTCGTACTTGTAATAAAAAAAAGAAACATTTTCAATGCAATGATACTTTTCATCTACAAATTTACTCCTTTTTTACCTTAGTAATATAATTTCCGCTTTAATATCATACGTACTAAATTTTATGACCTTTCTACATTTTAAGGCTCATTTTGCGATTAATGCCTCTTGTTATACAACTTCATGTTTGGGGCATTAATGTTTTTTTTCCTATTCCTTAAGTTGTCCTCTTTGTTGTTGTTCTAGAAAAAAGGTTCCTCTCTTTTTTTTCAAAATATCTTGTTTGCTCTTCTTATACAAAATATAATTATTTCATACCTAAAAATAAATAAATAATTTCAAGCTATTTTTTCTCAACTTTCCTTAAAGGAAAATTACCTTTATATGTATGTCTATTTTGCTTAACATTTTTGCTTTCTAGCCTAATATAGATTTTTTTTTAATAGAAGAAATTTTGGAAGCGTTCTTCAATGTTTATTTGTCGAGTTGACTCAATGAAGTAACAGAAAAAAGAGTTTTACATGCCACATTTTGAAAAAGATGTAATTTTTTTTTAATGTTTCTCTTTGTACTATTATGGCTACTTTTGATGCACAAGGGATTGCACGATACTCGGTTTTCTTCATTAGAATTTAACCAGTTGAACTGAACTTTGGATAAATTTCAAATTTTAAGCAGATTTTGAATTTATTTATTTTTATATTTTTTTTTAATACATATTACAAATACATTAGAAGTGATTAGTAGAATGTCTTTCATAGTATTTCCTTTTTCGATTTCTCTTTATAAATATACTTTTTATTCTCTATATAAGAAACATTAAGTAACGGAAACTTTGTAAACATTTACATTATTTTTAACTTCTTTCCTTAGTTCATTTCTTCTTCATGTATCTGTTTTTTTTTGTTCTTTTACTTTGAGGGTAAGTGAGTGTGGGATTTAATTTGGTTTTCCTCTGATTTATTTTTTTTAATTACTCTTGCCAGTAGTAATATTCATGTGGAAAGTTGATAGAGAGGTTAGAAATATACATAGAGTAGAATTTAATTCTATTTTGAGTAATATCTTGCAAATATGTTACGTTTAGAGACAGTTTTGAGTTAGAGAGGATGTGGAGAAAAGTAGACAAATGTTAGGCTCAAAAGAGAAAGAAAAGACACATTTGTTTGTTTTGAAAAATGGAACGGAAGACTTATTCTTAAACACGTAAGAAATGTTATTTGGAGAAAAATTGAAAAAATGATTGAGAGGTCACTAAAATTTTCATTTAGGTGGTACATTTTTACGTTATTCAACGATTTGACTTACATTTTTTCTTTCTTTATTGATTATTACCCATTGGCTGAGAATTTCCGTCTATTTTGCCTTAAGGTTCTGGTTCACAAACGATCACGAGATGCAAAGTAAATGTCAGGAAGGTCCATTATTCACACCCGAAAGATAGTCAATTTTCTATACAACTATTACACAAATTTAAAAATTCAACAATCAATAGCTTCTTCATCTCTCTTTACATTCAATAAGTTGGACTTTGATTCGATATTACATAGTATTATTTTGTTTCACTTTAATGTATCACATAAATTTATTCTACGAGTTATTTCCTTCCTCTTTGACATTTTCACGGATTTTGGTGGAATTCTTACTGTCAATTGTATAGTAGTTTTTTTTTCACCACCATTCAACACTTACTGTTATAGTTGTATTTAAAAAAAAATGACTTAAGTTATTGAAGGATATTTATTGACTAGATTTACGACTTCATGGAGAGTTTTCAACGAACCAGGACTTTATAGCCGCTTCCACACAAATAAGAGCTCATCCATGCTTCACCTTTTCCAACTACGTCCGGAAGTATTTATCTAGCGAGGGTGTTACATTTCTTCCTACAGTAAGTCCGGTGAAAGCCGTACGTGAGAAAGAAACAGTTCAAGTAGTTCGGAAATAATAATAGTTAATGAAGAAGAAGTCATATGACATTTATTAATGGGTGGAGTAGATGAATTAATGTGATTAACGCTAATACTCATCACTTCGTTAATGATGATGGCAGCATTTCAACAATAATACTCTCAATAATGTAGTTGTGATACAGATTGAATTTGGTGTACAATCTTACACGTGAAAAAGAAGTTAGAGTGTAATCGCCGCTTAATGATCGAAAGTTATAATGATTTGTAAGTCGAATAACTTAATTAATAAAAATGTGTAAATATTTATTGTTGCGAAGGAAGTAATGTCTTGAGAACAGAAAAGAAACGTTCTAAGCGAACGACATAGGCTAATCTTTTCTCATTCTTATAAAGTTACACTAAAAACAATTTGAAGATCTCGCTCTGCAATTGCTGACAATTTGCATTTGCGATTTCAAAAAAGCCATTCACAATGACATCCAGTGCGTGAACTCATTGGCAAGAAGTTCAATTCACACAGATAAAACACTTTTAGTCGCATATTAATTTTTTTTTATCTCAAATAAATCATTTTCAGCAGGGATGAATGTTGTTGTCTTTGTTCCCGACATGTTTACATAATTCGCTGTGTTGTTCTGGCAAGAAACAACTAATAAGTTACGCCTTCTCGAGCAATTTAGCCGATCTTCTCTCTCATCCAAAAGAAATCTCCAAAAAATTGAAACCAAACGCTAATTCGGTTTGAAGACAACGCTTTCTAACGGTGTCGAAAAAGATGGCAATTAATTGTCTATACAACTCAAATATATGTTGCAATATGTACAATAGTATGTATGTACAAAATCGTGGTATATTAATCATGTTACTAAATAAGACATGTACAAAATGTTCTCCATTCCAGCTTTGCTCTTCATAATCTATTCAAATATGATTACTTAAGAATATCTTCATACTGTTTGTTGGTTTGCGTACAATTTCTCTTCGGTAGAACACAATTTCAGCGATTTACGCTAAATTGGGGATGTTTTAAATACATATTTGGCGAAAAAAAAGAGTAGAAAGTGAAGTTTAAGATAGCTTTTGAGGATGAAAGTAGGTCGAAATATATTGGAAAAATTATTTCAATATCTATCGCGATCATTCTCTACTTCATCAGCTATGTTTTATTCGTATAAAATTGACTATTTTCAATTCATCCGTAACATCTTCCCATTTTCTGTTTCCTGTTGCTATTGATTTACCATCTCATTCTCATTCTATTTAACTAACCTAAAAGTATGATTTTAGTTGGATATTTCTCTCACTTTTTACATATTGCTCTTATAAACAATCTTCCATTTTCTTTTTCTTTCTATCTATGTCACTTCTTTCTGGATAAAGAGAAAAGAACTTAGCAAATTTTCGTTGCACTCGATTACAAAAAAAAAATTGTTTTTGATCCACGTTTGGGGCGTTTTTACAAAAAATCGGGGGATTTTAATTAAATATTCTACACTTGACTTATGTGTGTCATTTAGAAACCCTTTATGACGCCATACGCTTCTAAACTGCTCATGACCAGGTAGAATACCCAGAGTCCCACGAAGAACGTTGCGGTGATATACTTTGGCGTGGTGGGTCCGCCCAATTCTCCGCCGATTGACTTGGAGCGCCGCATCACGAGAACGATGATGGCAACGACTGCTTCAGTGCAGAAGAGAGTCACCGAAAAGGCCAGGCTGCAAAAGCAAACAATCCTCAATAGCCATTCTTGCTTCCTGGAGTGGCTCGGAATAGGTTCTATTGTCAAGCGAAACTCCGCAAAGTCCAACTTTGGTTGTTTCCCTTCCTTTACCCTCTAAAAATCATTCCTTTCTTGAAAGCTTTAATTTCCCATTGTAATAAAAAAAGATCTATAGAAACTACTCTTGGAGAAAATTTATCCCTAACCATCGAATTGAGTGGCTGAACTCGCGAGGAAGTCGCATTAAAAGTTCCGCATTGACTTGCACATTCACCATCTCAGGGTGGGGAAAGTGAACTTGCCAAGGGTGGGTGTGTTTTCTCATACTCACTTTCCTGGCTCCACCTCGAAAACTTGACCTCTGGCGGCATGATAGACGGCCGCTATTGTCCACGCCACGCCGATGCCCAAGAAGACATTAACTGCATTGCTGCCGGTAACATTTCCCACACTCGCGTCTGCATACTTGTCCTGAATGGCGGCCACTTTGCTGGCAAATGTGTCTGTTGGGCGGAAAAGGTGGGGTGTGGGTTAAGGCGTTGAGGCAATCCTGTGTGAAATGTGAATCTCCCTGCGGATGCTTACCTGGTATACTTGTGCCAAGAGCAACAAAGACGATGGCTGTCACGGAGTCTTTGATGCCCAGTGTACAACCAAAGTGGGATGCCACGTCGCCAATGATTGCAGTTACGACCCCAATGCAGAAGATTGATATGACAAAGCACAAATACCCGCCAGACATATCTGTGAATGGAAACATTCATATGAGAAGGAAGACACGAGAAAAGTTTACAGCACAAGAATAAATATTAATTTCGTCCTATTCAGCCATTCTATGGTTTTTCCGTAGAAGACAAATATGGCAAAAAAAAAACTTTGGTTCTACCCTTAAAAACTCCCAGTATTTAGTAGAATTGATAGTATAATGCCGCATGTTTCCAAGTATTTCTTTTCAGTTCATCCCTTTGTAAATGTCTTCATCTTGCGTTAAAGGCCATCATCATTCTTGCCATATGTAGAAATTCATGAAAAATAAATTTGAATGGCACACAATGGGCCTTTTCTCACCCGAAACTCATCGTCCCACTTCTTGTCACTTCATCCTTTTATTTTGATAACACCATTCGAAATAGGAGGAAATGCCTTGGATTTTCCTTGCTGACATTTTATGACTTTTTCGACCATTTTTTCGTTTGCCACAGCATTTGCAGGCAACCGTTTTGCCACCAATGAATTTTAATGGCGGCTTCACCATGAGAAGCTGAAAAAACTCTGTATTGTGAACAAGAAGGTTCAGAAATAAAACTTCCGATGAATTCACGCAAAATCCTTAGGTTTTCAATGGATTGTCATATGAGTGATATTTGAATAATACATAGTGAAACCAACTCGTTTTGCTCTACTTCTTCAACATTGAATATCTGTGAAAAGATTCGCGAACAATTGCGCATCGTGATGAGCTTTTTGTCAATTTATCCAAAAGCCAATTGTGAGTATTTCCAAAATTTTAAAGTGACTGCTTTAATCTAAGCTTTATGGGAATGTGCAAAATTAAGCAATAATACACCAGTACATAATTGTGTGGCGTTTTAGCCATGATATTCAGTAGTATAATTCTCCTGCTTGGAAACTCGTTATGGTAATTGAAAATATAAATTTTAAATCATAATTCATACTAATCCACCAACACGTAAATTGACTTTCGAGTGAGCGAGAATATAACTTTTCCAGCAAATACCAACAAAGCACAGCTATATCTGAAGGGCTCACAAAACTTTTTCAGAGATTTGATTTGAAAAGCTCCTTTTTGTAATAGAGACAGTTTCGAGAATAAAGGAGAATAAAATGGGACTGAGAGACTCCTTCTTCGTATGGAAAGGATTTCCCAGATGAAATTCAACGATATGGTAATGAGCAAATAGTTGAAGGAGAATCTCTATTTTTCTCCCCTAATCAAATACTTTGTCTTTCCACATGACTACATTTCAAAAGCTTTCCAGCTTCCAGAGGAAGTCTTTGCAGACATTCAATGAATAGAATCTTTGAAGCTTTTCCACTGCATTTTTGTACACCTCATTTCTTAAAGTTCCCATTAAAGTATAGTGCGGAAGTGCTTACCTGTAGGTGGAATAAAGGCAAATATAATCTTCCAGAATAGAGTCAAGAAATGCATTATGTAGTCGGAGCAACTCGGAGTCGGCTCCTCGCCGTCGCCCTCGTCCGATCCGCCGTCGTCACCTGAAATCATTGGTAAAAATTATACTTCACATCAGCGCGACACAGTATAAAGAAATGGAAAAGAAAGCTCAGTGGAAAGATAAACAAAACATTCATAATTCAATAATTGGACAACTGTCGTCTTTTCTTGTCTTCTGTTTCTGTCACTTAAATCTCTTTTTCCAACACTTTCAGCCCTTGAGGGAAAATATTTTCACACGCCATAAGAAAAATATTTGTTCTAAACACCATCACAGTGATATTTGAATATTGGCTTGAAGGGATAAAAAATCCCATTTAAGTTTTTCTCCATTTGGGGAAAAAAAACACATGAGGCTCAGAGGACGACGACGTTTATTTGCTTAACTCCAAAAATGTCAATATTTCAACTATCCAAAGTGGTTTTCGGAACAACCACAAGCTTTATTGGCAATACCAAAAAGCATACAATAAAATTTATTCATTCCGCCCTGATTGAACATTTTTCAAGCAATTTCGTACATAAATAAAATGTATGAGTATTTTTTTTCTGAAAAGTCCATAAACGAATTATTGGTATTCAGATTATCGTATATATTAATTATGAAAGGTATTATATAAATGCATAATTTACACCATTTCGGTGTAAAATGTATGGTAAAATGTAAATAAAAGAGAAAATTGAATGTTTATCAGTTTAACAATCCAGATTGGTGTGCAATACATTTTTAATTGGAAATCCCAAAATTTATATGAAAAACTAATTTCAACAAAATTGTCAGATAATTTGCATTCACAACGCAGTAAAAATTTTATCTCTTCTATCATTTTCAAACTCTGATAAAGGAAATATAATATAAGGGAAGATATGGAAAATATGTGAAGATATGAAATTTTCTATTGCCCACAATTTATTGCTTTCACAAAATCCCACAAAAAATCCTCGCATTGTCACATTTCTGGAGGAAATTGATAAAATTATCGCCCTTTCATCCAATATCTCGAACGCCCCGCAGGGTTCCGTAATTTTCGCACCACTGCACTCGTGATGTTTCTTCCCACTCTCTCCATCTCTCTTTTTCCGCAGCAATTTCTGAGGCGAGCGAACTTTGTCACGCTCCGATAGTTCCGTGAGCTTTGCACATTTAAATACAGGGAGAGGCGACAGAGAGCTTTTTGCTGGGACTTTTCTCCTTTGTCGCCTCTTTCACGAAATATAATTTATGCCCAACCACATGTGATTACTTCTGCGTGACCCTCCTTGGTTATATCGAAGTGTTTGAACGGGTGGCAAGTTCTCGGCATTCTGGAGGGAGTTTGTGAGGATCCAGGGAGCTTTCGGGAGGGCAAATATGTATGCTTTTCGGGATGGGTTATCGGAGAGTCTTTCGCACAGGACTTTTCGCCTCATAAAATATGTATGTGTGTTTTCGGGAGTGTCTTACAGTACCTGCACTGACTGTTAGCGCCTCCGTGAACTGCTCCTTCCACGACGAAGTGCCAATGAGGAGGGATGCATTTGCTCTCTGGACCAGTTTATCCACAGTGTTCTGGAAGGAGAAAGAGGACGTCATGGTGAGACAAGTGGCGAAGAGATGAAAAATCACTTTCCCCTCAATCCCAATCAGCGGAGATTTTTTCTCACTATATACATCCGACCACTTAGATTCAAGCTTATGTGTCGAAAATGTAATTATACCCCATTCAACCCTCTCTGCCGCAACGTATGATTGAAGCTCAAGTGGAGCTGTGGCGAATAGAAGAAATGGCAATAAACTCAATTTAACACAGATGTGACTTTATATCCAAACACTGATCTCTATTCAATCTCCTGATTGATTAAATAAATCCCATTGTTTCCACTTTCTCTATTCGCTTGCCGCCGCAAAAGCTTCGGCCTTGTAAGAGCTTTTTGGCCAAAATCATTGTTTGACCAATGGAAAAGAAGTAATCAATCAACATGTCACGATGCTGACAATTTCAGTGAATTGAACACAATATAATTCGGCGTCACATGCGAAACCATCGTCGATGGATAACGAGAAAAAAGCACCTTCGCTCGAAATTGGATGTGAGAAGGACAAATGGAAGCATTACCAAATTGAACGCACAATTTGTGGGTTTTGGAAAATTACCTGTCTTTAAAGCTATATATTTGTTTGAAACGATCTGTTCTTCCGACAAAATCGACACAATAAACTCACATTAGACTCCAAAAAATTTAAGAAATAGCTTTATTATATTTTTGGATACAGCTTACTTTCAAATATGCATATGAAATACACTTAGATTAATGTACTTTCTCGTCTATACACTTTCATATTTTGCGGAATAAAAAAAAAACGCTGCAAGCTCAGAGAGAATGAAAATAAAACTTTTGATAGTGATGGAGAAAAATTGCTCAATTTTTCCGCAATATTGAACAGCAGAGAATTGAGATATTCATTTGCTCGCTCAACGTGAAGTGAATGCGGAGCGAAGGAAGCTCAATATGAATGAGCTTTATGCAGCCTCTCGTCGCGCTGCTTGAACATGAGGAATTGCTACATTAAAGCACAGCGAAAGTGGTGATGAGAAATGACAAAAAAGACCTCATTTGATGTGGTGAGTTTGAGAAATTGACTTTAGCTATATAGTGTCTTGTTTATTTTCCTTGGGAGAGCTTCCGTGGCAGGTGTTTGTCTCACCTCAATATTCCCACACGCTTCCTTCAGTGCTGCGAAGCCTGAAGACATTGTGAGCAAGGGTTGTAGATAGTAAGTTATTGCGTTTATAAAAATTCAAACCATGATATATAATCTTCACCATTTTCACCGGGTTCAATAGAGGAAAACTTTTTCGAAACTCTGTGTACGTAAATTACCATAAAAGGGGGTGGTGAATGAGAATTTGCACATGAGTTCTCGCCAAAGTGCTATAGATGCTATCGCTGGAATGTAATTCCCAGCAATTCAGCGCATCTCCACTTTAAGCCACACTCCTGTGGTGTTTATGAACACCGATTTGGGATTTGGCCGGATGACTTTGGGCGTTCGCGAGCATACGGAGAATTTATACTTTCGCAGAAGAGTCGCAATGGCCAAGAGTGTCTGCACTTGACCAAGCTTGCGGCCGATGCAATATCGAGGACCTTCGCCGAAGGGCATGTAAGCTCTGCTGGGAATATCAGAGACATTTTCCGGAGAGAAGCGATCCGGGTCGAAGATGGATGGTTGGGGAAAGTACTCGGCATCATTCTGGATGCTGTACAGTGGAATGTAGACCAGAGTGCCAGACGGAATGGTAACATCCGTTCCTGGAACTGCATAATCAGCAACGGATTGACGCTGCAGAAGATGAACTACTGGATATTTCCGGACCGTTTCTATTGAATGAAAAATAGTCTTAGAACACTTTTCACCACAGTATCTCGAGGAACTTTTAGGGAATACCATTAAGAATTTGCGAAAGATACTTCATCTCCAGCAGAGATTCATACGTGAGCTCCTTCTCAACAATTTCCTCGTGAGCGCGCTGTTGAAGTTGCGGCTGCAGAGATAACTCAAATAGACACGCAGTGATTGTGAGTGCTGACGTCTCAAAGTTGGCAATGAAGAAGCCAAAAACTTGAGCCGCAATTTCATTAAATGTCATCTTGTCCAACTCTTCTGCACCCTCAACTCTGCCTTGTCTTCCCACTTGCATCATCGTGTCAATGAGATCCTTCCTCACAATTCCAGACTCTTCGCGATGCTTCATTGTCTCTCGCAGAATTCCCATGTAGAATTCCGACGCTTCGGGCACCACAATTTTCACTCGAAGCAGCCTCCCCAGGTTAACATAAGTGCTACATATGAGAAATCTAATCAATTCCAGAGTGCGCATCTCTGTGAGGATGCGACGCGCCATGCGAAAGAATACATTTTCCTTCTCATTGAGACTATTGCAATCAATCCCGAAGGCGCAGCTTCCAATAAGATCTGTTGTGAATCTCGAGGCGAACTCCACCATATCGATTTCTCTGCCTTCTGTAGCTGGTCTTAGTACAGCCTTCTCCAGCTGCTTCGCCACTTGTGCCATCAGTGGAAACATCATGCTAATTTTAGCACTGGTGAAAGCAGGGCCAACCTTCTTTCTTATCTGTCGCCACTTATCGCCCTCCAGGGCGAAAAGATGAGCCGTAAGTGGGTCATCTCGTTCGTTGTAGTAGAACAGTCCATGATCTGGGAAGGTCTTGAAGTTTTGCACTAGAATATCGTGAGCTACATCGAGATCCAGGATCAGAGCCACTGGTTTGAGAAAGAAGTAGATCCCAACCAGGGGAGTCTGATGCTTGAAGCGATAGTATAACTTATCTATCACTTGTGACGAGTGAAACTTTGTTCCAACTCCACTAAGATTCCCGAAAGGAAAAGTGGGCGTCGGTCCTATAATACGCAATTTCTTCCAGAATGAGTATTTTCGATGAACAAAGATCCAACAGAAGAGTATGAACACAACACAAAGAACAATTCCGCACAACATTTTGAGATAAACTGATTGATTTCTCCTCAAATGCCAATACTTAAGCTGTTTTAGCGCAGCTTAACGCAATTGAAGTTGCAACCTTGAGATCATTCACTTGATGAGTTAAAAGTGAATTGAAAAACAACTTAAGTTTCACACATAGTAATAAACACAGGGTACAATGTTGCGTTCTGAATTGCAAATGCAAAGATGCTCTAATGAATAATTCTATTACTTTTCACTTGTAAAACTAACGAAGAAAATCCTCTGTTCAAAAATACTATGTTCAAAGATTTCACCTAATCATCATGATTTATTGGGGACAACCCATTCGAAACTCTTTATCAATCAATATTAATGAATGAAAAAGTCGAACATGATCAATTTATCGCCAACTTTATGGCTTCCCATTGAAACGTTGTATTGTAGCAATATTTTTAGAGACTCGAAGTGCATTACCATTTAATTTTGAAATGGATTTTATATGAAATCAATTTATACACACAATTCAGTGGGGTAAAGTAATTCTGAAATAGCATCCACCTTTCCCATTGGCAAAGCCATTGTGGAACTCATGAGTAGTTTCAAATGAAATTTCTAATCTTATACGATTCTACAATAGCTTTCAGACTCAATTAAACTGATTGGAAAACTGGTAAAATATTTTGATTTGGTAAGGACTTTAGCACCTGAGGTAAGAGCCATTTAATTAAATAACAGAAAGTAATTTGCATTCATTCATATATGCTTGTACGTACGTAGAAAACAGATATTTTCATCGGGGAATCTGTATATAAGCATCACTGATAAATCACAATTAACAACAGTGTGCGTAAAAAGTTTTCCAATGTAGAGAAAAATCATACAACCGCGCATTTATTAGATTGTATTCACAACTACAAAATAATACGCATTGCTCTGTGTGTATTGATGATATAAAAATTAAAATTTTTCCCGGTGCTCAGTTATTTGAGTGTCAGTCGTCATCTCAGACGAGTCGTGAGCACAGTGTTGAATTCAATTGAGATAGTAAAATGGGTTGCATAATATTGTTAATCGGTTTTGTGACACTTGTAGCAATTGGGTACTTTTTTGTAAAGAAAAAATACAGCTACTGGGAGGAAAGAGGCTTTCCACACTTGAAAGCAACATTTCCCATGGGCAGTGTATGGGGAGTTGGCTACAAGAAGCACGTTAGTTTGTTCTTCCAAGATGCCTACAGAGAAATGAAGGGGAAAGATGTTGTGGGCGGAATGTATTTTATGATAGAGCCAACCTTGCTCGTGATGGATCTGGACTTCACAAAAACCATCCTTATAAAGGATTTCCAGTATTTTCATGATCGTGGAGTTTATGTGAATGAACGCGATGATCCACTCACGGCTAATCTTTTCGGACTCTCCGGTCAGAAATGGAGGGTTCTTAGAGGAAAACTCAGCCCCACCTTCACGTCTGGAAAGATGAAGATGATGCACACCACCATCATTGCTGTGGCTGAAGAATTTGGAAAATTCTTGCAACCGTATGCTAAAAAAGGCGAGGAAGTTGAATGGAAAGACATCCTGGCTCGCTTCACCACAGACGTGATCGGAAATTGTGCCTTTGGAGTTGATTGCAACAGTCTGAAAGATCCAAATACAGAATTCCGACAAGTAGGAAAGAAGATTTTCCAATTTGGCGCAGTTGGCTTTATCAAAATATTGTTCATTCAGGTTTTTCCTAATGCAGCTAAAGCCTTGAGAATGAAAACGAATAGTGACGAAATTGCAAATTTCTTCATGAAACTCCTTAAAGATACGATAGAATATAGAGAAAAGAATAACGTGAAGAGAAACGATTTTCTCTCACTTTTAATTCAGTTGAAAAACACAGGAAAACTCGAAGGAGACAGTGTGGATTTGGGAAAACTGACTTTTGAAGAATTGGCAGCACAAACATTTGTATTTTTTGGTGCTGGTTTTGAAACATCTTCTGCTGCAATGTCATTTGCACTTTATGAGTTGGCTTTGAATCAAGAGATTCAAGATCGAGCCAGAGAGGAAATCAAATCAATATTGGAGAAGCATGAAGGAAATTTCACATACGACGCTTGCATGGAGCTCAAATACCTCGAAAGGATTATTCAAGGTTAGTGAAATACTTATCATAATTGAACGGAAAGTAAACTTATTGTTTTTCTTACAGAAACATTGAGAAAATATCCTGTTGTTGACAACGTCCTGAGAACTGCCACGAATGATTATCAGATTCCTGGCGACAATCGTGTTATCCAGAAAGGCATTGCACTTGCCGTTCCCGTTTATGCAATTCACCATGATCCGGAGATTTGGCCGAATCCTGAAAGATTCGATCCAGATCGATTCACAGAGGAGAACATCAGAAATCGCCATTCCATGGCTTGGATGCCATTCGGAGAAGGTCCTCGAATGTGCATCGGAATGAGATTCGCCCTAATGCAAACGCGAGTAGGCCTGGCGACAATACTCAGCAAATACCGCATAGATGTGACACAGAAAACTCCCATTCCAATGGTTTTCTCTGCCGCCAGTCCTTTTCTGTCTACGCCTGGCGGAATGTGGCTGAAGATTGAGGAGATATCGTAGATACTGCGGGTACTAACCGCTCATTTTGTTGGACAACAATAAAAAGTAATGTGTCATTCAATGATTTTTCAGATTCTTGAGTGTTAGATGAGTGGAAAATAAAGATTAAGCTTTTATCATTTAATCCAAGGAATCCAGCGTGAACTACAATTTTTGCACTGATTACAATAAGTTTACATGAAGTGTGAATTAAGAAAGTTGGAGAATTTTTTATATACGTATGCATAATAAACACTCTTCGCTTATATTATTCGATAATAAAAGAAATTAAACTCATACAACGTTGTATATATAACTCTATCAAAACAAAAGCATGGTGTGTATACTCTCGAAATTGCACACTAAGAAAAAGTCTCTTGGCAATCGTAATGAAATATGGTATCAAGCTTCCCATGTTGCTTAAATATTCTGATGCTCTATAACGCTTTATTATGTTAGACTTTAATTTTATTGGAAATTTCACAACCATTACAGATGATTTGACATATTTTGTGTTTCAACTTTGTACCTATAATTAATCTAGGATATTAAACGATAAGAGATTTCCAATAAGCTTCTTCGTGAAAATTCAGATATCATTTTTACAAAGTCACACAAAAACATCCAGTTGTGTACAATTCTTATATACTCTGTAGTGTGAGATTTCGACAATATTGCGTATTACACATGTGTGTATTTATGCTGATACTCACATTTCTATAAATAGGATTCTTGAGTTGTGTTGAAACAGATATAAAAGTGAATTTTTCGGGCCTGCTCAAATAGTCGAGTCAAGGGTGCGGTGCTAGTCGAATCGTATCACGCTGAATTTTTGAAAATCGATAATGGAGTTGTGCACAAGTATTGGCCTAAGTCTTGTGGCTTTCGTAATACTCGGATATTTTTACGTAAAGAAAAAATACCGTTACTGGGAGGAAAAAGGATTTTTCCACATGAAAGGAACTTTCCCCTTGGGAAGTCTTCCGGGACTCGGCTTAACTAAGCACGTCAGCTTAGGTTTACAAGACGCTTACAAGGAAATGAAAGGAAAAGACATCATTGGCGGATTGTATTTTATGACAGATCATTCTTTTTTGGCGTTGGATTTGGATTTTCTCAGAAATGTTCTCATTAAGGATTTCCAGTATTTCCATGATCGCGGAGTTTACATCAATGAGCGTGATGATCCGTTGACGGGACATCTCTTTGGTTTGCCAGGACAAAAATGGAAAGTACTGAGAGCCAAATTGAGTCCAACATTCACTTCTGGTAAAATGAAGATGATGCACAGCACCATTATAGGAGTGGCCAAGGAATTTGGGGATTTCTTAGAGCCTTATGCCAAGAAGAGTGAGGAAATTGAAATGAAAGAAATTCTGGCTCGCTTCACTACAGACGTGATCGGAAATTGTGCTTTTGGTGTGGAGTGCAACAGTTTGAAGGATCCAAATGCCGAGTTCCGTCGTGTGGGAAAGAAAGCGTTCAGTTTCACACCTCTATTAATGTTAAAAGCAATTTGCGCACAAGCTTTTCCCAATTTGGCGAGAACTTTGAGATTAAAGATGACAGATGATGAAGTTACAGATTTCTTCATGAAGCTGCTCAGAGACACAATTGACTATCGTGAGAAGAACAATGTGAAAAGAAATGATTTCCTATCTCTTTTAATACAATTGAAAAATACTGGCAAACTCGAAGGAGACAATGTTGATCTGGGAAAGCTGACTTTTGAGGAATTGGCAGCTCAAACATTTGTATTTTTCTTCGCCGGCTTCGAAACATCTTCCGCCACAATGGCTTTCGCTCTTTACGAGCTCGCTCTGGATCAGGAAATGCAAGAAAGAGCTAGGAAAGAAGTCAAAGCAGTACTGGAGAAACATGGGGGAGAATTCACTTACGAAGCCTGTGGAGAGCTCCAATATCTCGAGAGGATTATAAGTGGTAAGTATTTGAAACATTAGAGAATTGATTGTTTATCTAAACCTAAAATCTTTTTTTGCAGAAACACTCAGAAAGTATCCAGTTGTCGACAATCTTTTGAGAATCACATCCAATGACTATCAGATTCCTGGTGATAATCGTATTATCGAAAAGGGTACACAAATGGCTGTTCCAGTTTATGCGATCCACCACGATCCAGAGATTTGGCCGAATCCTGAAAGATTCGACCCGGATCGATTCACAGAAGAGAACGTCAAGAATCGACATCCTTTTGCTTATCTCCCCTTCGGAGAAGGTCCTCGAATGTGCATTGGAATGAGATTCGGCTTGATGCAAACGCGAGTAGGATTGGCAACAATACTCAGCAAATATCGTATAAATGTGACACAAAAAACTCCAATTCCAATGGCTTTCGTTGCAGCTAGTGCATTTCTGTCTCCTAAAGGTGGAATGTGGTTAAGGATTGAAGAAATATAAATCATGTAGTGGATCAAGTTGTTTCAAAAATAAGGAAAGGAAATGCATTTTGTGTTTTAACATCTTCAATGCTTCACTGTGCTAATATATTGAAAGATTGATCATCTGCGGAATTTAAATTTCTATTCATTATGACCAAGTGACCGACCACTATATTATCAAAGCATACAGAGGTCAATACAAAGAGATGAAATATTATATACTCCAGCGGATTTTAAAATATGTAAATATATTTTAAGAGATAAATAAATACACGATGTCTGACATATTATGTATGTTCTGCGTTTAAATTTACCCACACAATCAAAGCACTTGCTATCTATAAATGACCAATTCACTTGATTCTCAGTAACATTGAAGAAGTGACTTCTAGAACACCAATTCCACTTTCTCTTGATTCAACTAATAATGTAATGACTACCAAGGATGGCATGTGGTTAAGATTGGAAAGTGTAAACTGAATGAATTTAATAAAAAGTTAAAAATTTACAATAGATTTAGTAATTCATAGTCTTAGAGGTCAGATGTTCGTATCTGATATCTGAGCTCAAACGGCTAAAACTTTATCATTTTCTGATTTGAGTTAAACTTGCCTATCATCATGGCACGTGTTACCACGATGTCATAGAAATGACGTTGTTTAAAATGCAAATTATGCTATTTCATCTTGCAAATATCATTAAAATAATTATTTGTTATGAATCGTAAAAAAACCTCAATAAATGACTTTAGTTTATGTGATATAAGTAAGTTACAAAATCACAAGCACCTCAACACCTAGAAATATGACCACACAATGTTATCGTTTTTGATTAGATATGAGGTAGATTTTCACTACTACATAAACCGATCTCAGCCTTTATAAATCGAAATTGAAGTGACATCGACATATTCTAATAGACAGTGAAGCAGAAAGTGTTGAATAAATAAGGTGAATTTTTGATCATTTTCCCAAGATGGATTGGAATGTGATCCTCGTGTCTGTGGTGACCCTCATGGTTGCAGGATACTTGTACGTGAAGAAGAAGTTCCAGTACTGGGAAGAAAGAGGAATTCCTTATGTGAAACCCGAGTTTCCATTTGGGATTCTCAAAGACATGGGAAAAACCAAGCATACTAGTCAAGTCTTTACTGCGGCATATAATGAATTGAAGGGAAAAAACAGTTTTGGTGGAATATATTTCTTCACTAAGCCAGTTGTTCTGCCCACTGATGTGGAATTACTGAAAAATATATTCGTGAAAGACTTCCAATACTTTCATGATCGTGGAATCTACGTCAATGAAAAGGATGATCCGCTATCTGGCCACTTATTTGCTTTATCTGGACAGCGTTGGAGGAATTTGAGGAACAAACTCAGCCCAACCTTCACTTCTGGTAAAATGAAGATGATGCACAGCACAATTATCGCAGTTGCCAAGGAATTCCAAAATTATCTAGAGCCGATTGCTCAGAAGAACCAGGAACTCGAGATTAAGGATGTTTTGTCACGATTCACAACTGACGTTATTGGGAATTGTGCTTTTGGAATTGAGTGCAACAGCTTGAAAGAACCCGACACTGAGTTCAGACAAATCGGAAAGCTAGTATTTCAATTTACGCCATTGGAATTTTTGAGAGTTTTCTTTTTGGCTGTGTTCCAAGATTTGGGAAGAAATTTAAAGATGAAAATTAACAAACCTCAAGTATCAGAATTCTTCATGAGACTCCTCAAGGAAACCACCGAATATCGGGAACAAAACAAAATCAAACGAAATGATTTCCTGGATCTTCTCCTACAAATCAAGAATACCGGAAAGCTCGAGGGTGATGATACGGATCTAGGAAAGATGTCTTTCGAAGAACTTGCGGCTCAAACTTTCCTGTTCTTCATCGCTGGATTTGAGACCTCATCATCCACGATGACCTTCGCTCTGTACGAACTTGCACAACATCAGGACATTCAGGACAAGGCCAGAGAAGAAATTCACAGGGTGCTCGAAAAGCACAACGGAGAATATTCATACGAAGCTTGCATGGAAATGAAATATGTCGATCAAGTCATTAACGGTAACGTATTCCATTTCAAGCATAATACATTTGATAATAATTAATTTTTTCAACTTTCCAGAGACTTTAAGGAAACATCCAATTGTCGACAGTCTGATTAGAGTATGCGGACAAGATTATGCTGTTCCTGGAACAAAACATATCATTGAGAAAGGAACAATGGTGATGATTCCTGTCTATGGCATTCAACATGATCCCGAAATCTATCCTGATCCGGAGAAATTCGACCCTGATCGGTTCACCGAAGAGAATGTCAAGAATCGCCATCCTTATGCCTGGATTCCGTTTGGTGAAGGACCCAGGATTTGCGTTGGGATGAGGTTCGGAGTGATGCAGACTCGAGTTGGATTGGCGCATCTTCTCCAAAAGTATCGCGTGAAGACCTGCCCAAAGACACCAATACCTCTTCAACTGGATCCATCTACTACTGTAATGTCTCCCAAAGGAGGAATGTGGTTGAAATTGGAGAAGATTTAATAAAAACCAAGGTTAGATTACTCGTTTGATTGCATCTGCTGTCTTATGATAAGCATATCATAATGATGTCTGATAAAAAAAATCAATAGGTGTTACTTTGTGATTTTTTTGGCAAAGTCATCAATGCGAAGTCAACAATGATTGCGCATATAGGAATCTTATCCTTATCGGGTAAAAATAAGAAAGAACTTTCACGTGAAGCTTTTCGTGCACTCAGTTTATTTTCCATCAAAACGAATCAACACTGGTCATCACAAGCTCATGTCAAAGACGATTAGTTCTCATGATATTACCACGTCTCATAAAAAATATATCATTCGTAAAAACCAAACGCCACGAGAATAAGAGTGTAGAAGCATGACCATGAATTTGCAAAATCGAAGAAATAAGACAAACCGTGATCATTATACATATACATATATTTTACACAACACCATTAAATTTTGCAGATAATGCTACCTTTGAGCTACTGTATATAATGCTCATAAGCGTGTGTAGGTATGTTTCCTCTCTGTTATAAAACGGCCATCCCGTCGAAATTTGCCATATCTAAACAGTGCTTGTGTTCAAAAAGGTGTCGAAAAGTGTCTTGAAAACTAATAATCCAATATGGATTGGAATTTAGTTCTCGTGACTGTGGTCACATTGCTGGTGGCAGGATATTTATACGTGAAGAAGAAGTTCCAATACTGGGAAGAGAAGGGCGTCGCTTATGTGAAGCCTGAATTTCCGTTCGGAATTCTCAAAGGAATGGGAAGAACGAAGCATTCAACTCAGATTTTCACAGAAGCGTACAAACAAGTGAAGGGAAAAGGCCCATTCGCCGGAATTTTTTTCTTCACTAAACCCGTCATGTTTCCGACTGATTTGGATCTACTGAAGAATATATTCGTGAAAGATTTCCAATACTTCCATGATCGTGGATTTTACGTCAATGAGAGAGACGACCCTTTGTCTGGCCATTTATTTGCGCTTAATGGACAGCGTTGGAAGAATTTGAGGAACAAACTCAGCCCAACATTCACTTCGGGAAAGATGAAGATGATGCACAGCACAATTATCGCCGTTGCCAAGGAATTCCAAAATTATCTAGAGCCGATTGCTCAGAAGAACCAGGAACTCGAGATTAAGGATGTTTTGTCACGATTCACAACTGACGTTATTGGGAATTGTGCTTTTGGAATTGAGTGCAACAGCTTGAAAGAACCTGACACGGAATTCAGGAGAATCGGAAAGAGGGTATTTGAATTAACACCCTTTGAATTCATCAAGTTCTTTTTTGCTCTGATGTTCCAAGATTTGGGAAGAACACTCCGAATTAGAGCAACTAAGCCAGAAGTATCAGATTTCTTCATGAGACTCCTCAAGGAAACCACAGAATATCGGGAACAAAACAAAATCAAACGAAATGATTTCCTGGATCTTCTCCTACAAATCAAGAATACCGGAAAGCTCGAAGGTGATGATACGGATCTAGGAAAGATGACATTTGAAGAACTTTCTGCACAAACATTCTTGTTCTTCATCGCTGGATTTGAGACCTCATCATCCACGATGACCTTCGCTCTGTATGAGCTTGCACAACATCAGGACATTCAGGACAAGGTCAGAGAAGAAGTTCACAGAGTGCTTGAGAAGCACAACGGAGAATATTCGTACGAAGCTTGCATGGAAATGAAATATCTCGATCAAGTCATTAACGGTAAGATTGCTTCTAATAGTTTGAGATTTCTTGGTGATTATCGTGTTTTGGCGTCTAATTGCAGAATCGCTCAGAAAGCATCCAATTGTGGATAACCTCTTCAGAATGTGCGGTCAAGATTATGCTGTTCCTGGAACAAAACATGTCATTGAGAAAGGAACTCCCGTAATTATTCCCGTCTATGGCATTCATCGTGATCCCGAAATCTACCCAGATCCGGAGAAATTCGACCCCGATCGATTCACCGAAGAGAATGTCAAGAATCGTCATCCCTATGCTTGGCTTCCGTTCGGCGAAGGACCTAGGATTTGCGTTGGAATGAGGTTCGGAGTGATGCAGACTCGAGTTGGTTTGGCAAATCTACTTCAGAAGTATCGTGTCAAGACCTGTTCAAGGACACCAATTCCTCTTGTGCTGGATCCAATTGCTACTGTAATGTCACCCAAAGGAGGAATGTGGTTGAAATTGGAGGCATTGTAATGAAATTCAGTAATGCCGATATTTTAAGAACAGTCATATGATATTCGTGGTGCAAATAATATATAACTCTTCTTAGAATAAAAGAAAATTTGTATTACTATTTTTTCAGTGATCTAAGAAAATAAAAAGCCGAGACTTTAGTACTGACATTTGTTCTCCCTTGGTTTTTTCTTGAGCACTCATTATATTCATTGGCTTTTTCGGTCCCATAGACTACAAATGAATCATTTCTCACTATCACAAGTATGAGATTAAAAGAGAAATAGACTTGCATGTTCATCGTTGTTTACCTTATCGAGAGCATTGTTTTTTTACTAAACTAAGTGCAAAACTAAATTACTGAGTAATGTAACACACACTTGTCTGGAATATTCAATGTGTTTGTGATGAAATACATACCACAGTGTACAAATGTTATCTATTACATAAAGAGCTCATAGTTTCCGTACCTAATCTCTACACATGGCTGAGTGTAAGACCATGGCAGTGACTTTACAAAATCGACCAAATATAACAAAATGCCATCACATTTATAAGTACTCACACAACTTTTATCAGTTAATGCTACTTCATAAGCTACTCATGTAAATAATGTTCATTCGTGTATGTAGGTACTGCTCTTCTCAGTTATAAAACGGCCATCCCGTCGAAATTTGTCATATCTAAACAGTGCTTGTGTTCAAAAAGGTGTCGTAAAGTGATTTCAAAACTAATAATCCAAGATGGATTGGAATTTAGTTCTCGTGACTGTGGTCACATTGCTGGTGGCAGGATATTTATACGTGAAGAAGAAGTTCCAATACTGGGACGAAAGAGGAGTTCCATTCGTCAAACCCGAATTTCCGTTCGGCACTCTCAAAGGAATGGGGAAAACTAGGCATACAACTGAAATTTTCACAGAAGCGTACAAACAAGTGAAGGGAAAAGGCCCATTCGCCGGAATTTTTTTCTTCACTAAACCCGTCATGTTTCCGACAGATTTGGATCTACTGAAGAATATATTCGTGAAAGATTTTCAATACTTCCAAGACCGTGGAGCATATGTTAACGAGAAAGATGATCCCTTATCTGGACATTTGTTTTCACTGTCTGGACAGCGTTGGAGAAATTTGAGGAACAAACTCAGCCCAACATTCACTTCCGGAAAGATGAAGATGATGCACAGCACAATTATCGCCGTTGCCAAGGAATTCCAAAATTATCTAGAGCCGATTGCTCAGAAGAACCAGGAACTCGAGATTAAGGATGTTTTGTCACGATTCACGACTGACGTTATTGGAAATTGTGCTTTTGGAATTGAGTGCAGCAGCCTGAAAGAACCCGATACGGAATTCAGACGAATTGGAAAAAAAGTGTTCGATATAACTCCATTTGAGTTTATTCGATTCTTCTTTATACTAATGTTCCAAGATTTAGGAAGAGCACTTAAGATGAAAATAACTAAGCCAGAAGTTTCAGAATTCTTCATGAGACTCCTCAAGGAAACCACCGAATACCGGGAACAAAACAAAATCAAACGAAATGATTTCCTGGATCTCCTACTGCAAATCAAGAATACCGGAAAGCTCGAGGGCGATGATATTGATCTAGGAAAGATGACTTTCGAAGAACTCGCGGCTCAAATATTCTTGTTCTTCATTGCTGGATATGAAACCTCATCATCCACGATGACTTTCGCTCTGTACGAACTTGCCCAACATCAGGATATTCAGGACAAGGCTAGAGAAGAAGTTCACAGGGTGCTCGAAAAGCATAACGGAGAATATTCGTACGAAGCTTGCATGGAAATGAAATATCTCGATCAAGTCATTAACGGTAAGACTGTTTTAGCGTTGTATGAATTTTGTTTTAAATTTTGATGTGGTGTTAAATTACAGAAACGCTCAGAAAGCATCCAATTGTGGATAACCTCTTCAGAATTTGCGGTCAGGATTATGCTGTTCCCGGAACAAAACATGTCATTGAGAAAGGAACTCCCGTAATTATTCCCGTCTATGGCATTCATCGTGATCCCGAAATCTACCCAGATCCAGAGAAATTCGATCCCGATCGATTCACGGATGAAAATATTAAGAGTCGCCATCCTTATGCTTGGCTTCCGTTCGGCGAAGGACCCAGGATTTGCGTTGGAATGAGATTCGGAATGATGCAGACTCGAGTTGGATTGGCAAATCTACTTCAGAAGTATCGCGTTAAGACTTGTTCAAGGACATCAATTCCTCTTGTGCTGGATCCAACTTATACTGTGATGTCTCCCAAAGAAGGAATGTGGTTGAAATTAGATGCAATATGATGCAATTAGCAAACGCCATTCGTCATGACTAACCAAGCGATATTCCTGGAATTATCACTCGTGTGAAAAGTACAATGAAATATTTGTAGTTATCTACTGTGTCCAGAAATAATGTTATCTGGGAATGATTGTGCTTATTTTCAATGCGTTTCTTAAGCGAAAATAAATAGTCAGAAGCCCAACTGAATCTTATCAGTAATCAACTGATTGCAGTGAAGTTTTTTTATGAAATGCATGGCAACTGATATGTCCGGTAAAGCAGAGTTTCAATTCATTTCTCTTTTATCAACATTTCGTGATCTAGCATTTTTGAAACACAAATTTAAGATAATTGCGTTTGAATTTGGCGACACAGTGGAATAGTTTTGGTAATTCTTTCTGTTGTCTGTCTGTGAGATGTATAGAAAAAATACACACAGAAATCTTAGCTTGTATCGAATATCATCACACTATGAATTAATTATTTACCTTCTATCTACAACGTACATAATACGCAACAGCAAAAGCTTTCGTCTATTTATTCTCGTTCCGTCAACTTGAAAATACATTTCAATAGCTAATTTCAAGCGGGTGTGTTCAGACGTTGAAAATTCGTGTTTCAATCAAAATTTCAAGATGGATTTAATTCTTTTTGTGGTAACATTCGTGACCCTCTTGTTTGCTGGATATTTTTACGTGAAGAAAAAGTTGAGATATTGGGAAGAAAAGGATGTGCCGTTCGTGAAACCCAAATTTCCATTTGGAATACTCAGTGATATGGCCACTCAACACATTAGTAAGGCACTGACGGCCGCCTACACTGAATTAAAAGGCAAAGACGAGTTTGGAGGCATTTATTTCTTCCTAAAGCCCACTGTTCTAATCACTAATCTTGATATCTTGAAGAATATTCTCGTGAAAGACTTCCAGTACTTTCATGACAGAGGACTCTACGCCAACGAAAAAGACGATCCACTGTCTGGACACCTTTTCGCATTATCTGGCCAAAAGTGGAAAACCATGAGAAATAAGTTGACTCCCACCTTCACTTCTGGAAAGATGAAGATGATGCACAGCACAATTATTGCCGTTGCCAAGGAATTCCAGAACTATCTTGAACCAATTGCTCAAGCAAATGAAGAAATTGAGTTCAAGGATATTTTAGCCAGATTTACGACTGACGTAATTGGTAATTGTGCTTTTGGAATAGAATGCAACAGCATCAAAGATCCTGATACTGAATTCAGGAGAATAGGAGTAAAAGTTTTCCAATTTACAAACTTCGAAATGCTTCGTATCTTCATCCTATCTTTCTTCCAAGGTTTGGGTAGAATTCTTAAACTGAAAGTAAATAAACCCGATGTTTCGGAGTTTTTTATGAGAATCCTTCGTGAAACAATTGAGTACAGAGAGCAAAATAATGTTAACAGGAATGACTTTTTATCACTCCTCATGCAGCTGAAAAATTCTGGAAAACTTGAAGGAAATGATACGTCTTTGGGGAAAATAACTTTCGAAGAATTGGCAGCGCAAACATTCATTTTCTTTGCTGCGGGTTATGAAACCTCATCATCCACAATGACATTTGCTCTCTATGAATTGGCTCAAAATCAGGATATTCAGGACAATGTTAGGGAGGAGGTGAATCGAGTTCTTGCAAAATACAACGGAGAATATTCTTATGAAGCTTGTATGGACATGAAATATCTCGATCAAGTTATTAATGGTAAGATAAATAAATACATCAATCAGTATAAATATAAGTAAATAATCTGTCTGATTTGTGGAATATTATTACACAGAGACATTGAGGAAGTACCCCATAGTCGACGGTCTAATCAGAGTTTGTGGACAAGATTACCAAGTTCCTGGCACTGCGCACGTGATTGAAAAAGACACTTTAGTATTGATTCCAGTGTTTGCTTTCCATCGCGATCCTGACATCTATCCGGAGCCAGAGAAATTCGATCCCGATCGCTTTACACATGAGAATGTTAAGAATCGTCATCCTTATGCCTGGATGCCATTCGGTGAAGGACCACGAAATTGTGTTGGAATGAGATTCGGAATGATGCAGACTCGAGTTGGATTGGCGCATCTTCTGCAGAAGTACAGAATTAAAACTTCTCCTAATACACCAAATCCTATTATTTTCGATCCACGATCAACTGTATTATCTCCAATAGAAGGGATGTGCTTAAAGTTGGAAAAAGTTTAACAGGATTTATCATATAATTTGTAGAGTGGTAAATTTCGATTAAAATGTTTTTCTATCTAACAATAGAACAACGCGTTGAGTGGAAATTTTATTAACATAACTCGCCAAAAAATGGATCTATTAGAGTTGATGAGAAGTTATGCGGCTAAAAATATCATTATGTTTGTATTCTCACCATTCTGACTAATGTCTGTAATGTTGTACAATGTACATGGAAATACACACCAATTCGTATGTATCTATACGCTCTCGTCAGACACACTTTTGATTTCACAGCGTACGGATTTTATCTACTTCCACAAGCGAGTGTGTATATAAAAGAGATCTCCAAATATGCCTGTAGTATTCACAGAGCTGCCGCGGTCGCAATCAGTCGAAAGCTCGCGAACAAAATGGATCTAACGACACTCCTTCTTGGTTTTGTGACTCTTATTCTTGTTGGATATTTTTACGTGAAGTATCAGTATCAATATTGGGGAAAACGTGGTGTTCCCTATGTGAAACCCACATTTCCGCTTGGGAATCTTTGGGGTGTTGGCACTTCAAAGCACATCAGCCAATTGCTCCAAGACCAATACAGAGAGTTGAAGGGCAAAGATGTTTTCGGCGGAATGTACTTTATGGCCAATCCCACCGCAATTGCCTTGGATCTGGACTTCTTGAAGAACATACTCGTGAAGGACTTTCAATACTTCCACGATCGGGGTGTTTATGTCAATGAGCGTGATGATCCTTTGTCAGGACATCTCTTTTCCCTTTCGGGTCAAAAATGGAAAGTCATGAGGACCAAACTGAGCCCAACGTTCACTTCGGGAAAGATGAAGATGATGCACAATACGATTATCGCTGTGGCGGAAGAGTTTGAAAAGTTTTTGGAACCCTCGGCAAGCAAAAACGAAGAGATCGAGTTCAAGGAGATCTTAGCTCGCTTCAGCACTGATGTGATTGGAAATTGTGCTTTTGGAATTGAATGCAACAGTTTCAAGGACCCAAACTCAGAGTTTCGTCGAGTTGGAAGGAAGGTTTTTGATTTTTCGGGACTTGGCTTAGTCAAGCAGTTTTTTGTTCACTTATTCCCAAAAATAGCACTGGCACTGAGGATGGAAATCACGGATAAGGATGTAACGAAGTTTTTCCTAAAACTGTTGAAAGATACAATCGATTATCGTGAGAGTTCGAATGTGAAAAGAAATGATTTTCTTTCATTGATGATTCAACTAAAGAACACTGGTAGACTCGAAGGAGACAACGTGGATCTGGGAAAGCTGACTTTTGAGGAATTGGCAGCACAAACATTTGTATTCTTCGTTGCTGGATTTGAGACATCATCGTCTACAATGACTTTTGCTCTATACGAGCTAGCCCTTCATCAGGAGTTGCAGGATCGAGCAAGAGAGGAAATCAAGACAGTGTTAGAGAAACACGGTGGAAAGTTCACTTATGAAGCTTGTATGGAGCTTAAGTACCTTGAAACTATCATACATGGTACGTTTCCAAGTTCAAGTTTTCACTTTTAGTTTACTGGACTAATGCTTCTTGTCTTTGCAGAAACGTTGAGGAAGTATCCAATTGTTGACAATCTCATTAGGATTGCGACCAATGATTACCCTGTTCCCGAGACTAATCACGTTATTAAGAAGGGAATGTCCGTTATTATACCAGTCTACGCCTTACAGCGAGATCCAGAAATCTATCCAAACCCTGAGAGATTCGATCCAGATCGTTTCAGCGAGGAGAACATGAAAGACCGAAATCAGTTTTCCTGGCTTCCATTTGGAGAAGGTCCTCGAATTTGTGTCGGAATGAGATTCGGTATGATGCAGACACGCGTTGGATTGGCTACGATTCTCAACAAATACAGGATCAATGTGACACAAAAGACTCCCATTCCAATGACTCTGTCACCAACGGCGGCTTTTCTATCGCCCGAAGGTGGAATGTGGTTGAGAATTGAAAAACTGTAAAATGACATGTAACTTTTGTCACGATAAAGTAATTATCAGAGACTTTAGATAAGTCGCATTGAAAAACTGCAATTTCATTCTCAATTTACTCCTTCCATTGTACACCTAATCTTCTTATCAAAAGTGTTTGGCCTTTGAAATTGCTATGTTTTCATTTTGGAATATATAATACATCGTCGTGACTATTTTTCATGTCTTTTGATTAAATGTTTTTATCACAACCCAATCACTTACGGAGTTCCCAAACCTGACAAATACTTGCAAGATTTTTGAACTGTGTTTGAAATGTTTCTCCTATAAAATCAAACTCACTGTAGGTTTTATGGTACTTGAAGAGTGATCGCGTACTTGAAAGTTTCACATTCAACTCCTTCCTTGACTGATAACTAATGTGAAAATGGAGTTGAATTTGTTTGTTGTGTGTTTTCTTGTGCTGGCCCTTATTGGATATTTGTTGATTAGGAAGAAGTACGATTACTGGCTAAAGAGGGGTGTTCCTTACATAAGACCGGCGTTTCCGCTGGGCAATCTTCAAGAGATCGGATCAACAAAACACATGGCCACATTTCTGGAGGAGTCATACAATGACTTGAAGGGAAAGGACATATTTGGAGGAGTGTTTTGCTTTACGAAACCCGTCATTGTTCCAATTGACTTGAATTTGATCAGCAACATTTTAATCAAGGATGTTCGATATTTTCAAAACAACGAAAATACTCTTTGTGGACACTCGCTTTCCCTAAATGAACAATACAAGAATGAATTTAGAAATAAATTGAATTATATGATGACTTCAGACAGTCTGAAAATGATGTTTCCCACGATATCTATGACATCACAAAATCTGAGCAAATATCTTGGAACACTATCTAGAAAAGATCAAATCGATATGACTAGCATTGTCTCACGATTCGCAATGGATGTCGTTGCTTTTTCTACCTTTGGAATGCAACTTAATAGTCTGAAAGATGCAACAACAGAAGTTTTTCACATAGCTGAAAAAACTTTGAATTCACAAGAAAGTGTTCTTCGTTGTTGGTTTATTCAGATGTTTCCGAAGTTAGCTCGCAAGCTCAGAATAAAATTGAAAACTGATGTGACTTCTAAACCACTAGTGGAATATTTATCTAATGTCATCAAATCTAAGCAGAAGAATAGGACAAGTAAAAATGACTTCCTCTCTCTATTGCTGCAATCGAAAAATGCACGAAAAAATGTGACAAATCAAAATGTGATCGAACAAGCTGTGGTACTTTTTAATGTGAGTTTCCAAATCACTCTTTCTATTATGACCTTTGCTCTCTACGAATTGGCCTTCAATCAGGACATTCAAGACAAAGTTAGGAGAGAAATAAGAAAGATTTTGAGAGATCAGAAAGAATTCAATTACGAACAATGTGAAGAGATTCCGTATTTGGATCGAATTCTTAAAGGTAATGAATAAACTAACCATGCATTATAAACTCAGGGATCTTATTCATACTCTGTTGCAGAAACTCTAAGGAAATATCCTGTTGTAAGCTTCTTGCAAAGGCAACTTAGTCACGATTATCCAGTTCGTGACTGTCGGCATATGATGAAAAAAGGACTTTGGCTGCTGATACCAATTTATGCCATTCACCGTGATCCTGATATTTATCCAAATCCGGAAAAATTCGATCCAGACCGTTTCACAGAGGGAAACATTAAGAAACGACATCCTTGTGCTTGGCTGCCTTTCGGAGAAGGATCTTTGAATTGTGCCGGTCAAAGTCTTGCAATGCTTCAAGTTCGAGTAGGATTGGCAACTTTACTCAACAAGTACAGAATTTTGCCATGCTCAAAAACACCTACGCCAATGATTTATGCTCCAAACCAACATATTCTAGCCAGCGATAGTAAAATATGGTTGAGAGTGTCAAAAATATAGGCACATCAAGTCCAGGGTTAATTGTATCTTATCGGAAAATACACTCTTATCAAGAGATATGCTTACAAAGTTTGGACCATATCAGAAAGCTTTTGAATGTCTTAGACATCACAAATTTTGTTGAGTAATCTTATACCTTCCAAATATATAAAATCTGTACTATCGTTCGTTTTGTATATTGCGCGATAATAGCAAATTGTGATTGTATTCGTGGCGAATATACAACCCGTTCGCCAAAATTTTATCTATTAATCGCTCGACTTTCGTATCATAGAGCTTTCATTTATAAAACATGCGCACGAGAAGAACTTCATGTATTGCTGATACAAAATGTAGATGTGTGATGCCAAAGTCTGTGTATAAAATTCATCACGCATAAAAATCATTCTTAGTCGCAGTGTTCCTTTTGCTTAGAGCGGACGAAGCGGACTCTTAATTTAACTTTCATAATTCTGTGGGTGTCAGAATGGATTGGAACCTAATTCTATTGGGTGTAATTGCTTCTGTGACCTTTGCGATTTGGTGGGTGAGAAAGAAATACAAATTCTTCGAGGAAAATGGAATACCATCTGTCAAGCCGACATTCCCTCTTGGCAACTTTTGGGGTGTTGGAACCGAAAGGCACTTTTCTGAGCTCATGCTGGACTACTATAGGGAAATGAAGGGAAAGCACGTCATTGGTGGAATGTATTTCTTCGTTTTTCCCGGATATATTGCATTGGATCTTGATCTTCTCAAGCACATCTTAGTGAAGGATTTCCAATACTTCCACGACAGAGGCGTATATGTTAATGAGAAAGATGATCCTCTGTCTGGACATCTGTTTGCCTTATCTGGTCAGAGATGGAAGACTCTGAGGAATAAACTAAGTCCAACCTTCACTTCGGGAAAGATGAAGATGATGCATCTTACGATAATCGCGGTCGCAAAGGAATTCCAGAATTACCTGGGACAAGTAGCAGAGAAGAATGGAGAGATAGAAATCAAAGATATTCTAGCTCGATTCACTACTGATGTCATCGGAAATACTGCCTTTGGAATCGAATGCAACAGTCTCAAGGACCCCGATACTGAGTTCCGAAGGATTGCGGACAAGGTTTTCGACTTCAAAGGTCTTGAAATGCTGCGACAACTCTTCATCGGCGTACTGCCAAATTTGGCAAGAAAATTGGGGGCTAAAGCTATAAAGCCTGAAGTTTCTGACTTCTTCATGAGATTGCTCCGAGTGACTACTGAATACCGTGAGAAAAACAATATAAAAAGGAATGATTTTCTCCAACTACTACTTCAACTCAAGAATACTGGACAACTCGATGGCGAAGACACTCAATTTGGAAAAATGACCTTTGAAGAACTTGCGGCTCAAACATTCTTGTTCTTCATTGCTGGATTTGAAACTTCTTCCTCAACCATGTCTTTTGCTCTCTACGAATTGGCTCAACAGCAGGATATTCAGGACCGTGCAAGGGAGGAAATTCATCAAGTGTTGAAAAAACACAACGAGGAATTCACGTACGAGGCTTGCATGGAGATGAAATATTTGGATCGAGTGATAAATGGTAATGTTGTAATGAAGAAAATAATCTAGGATTCCACTGACGTTGTTATTCACCTTTTTCAGAAACATTACGAAAATATCCAGTCGCCCCAACAATCATGAGACAAGTAACAAAAGACTACAAACTTCCTGATCATGATTTTGTGATGAAAAAAGACTCTGTGGTCCTGATATCGGTAAATGCCATCCATCATGATCCTGAGATTTATCCAGACCCGGAGAAATTCGATCCTGATCGATTCACGGATGAGAATATTAAGAGTCGTCATCCTTATGCTTGGCTTCCATTCGGCGAAGGACCCAGGATTTGTATTGGCATGAGATTCGGAATGATGCAAACTCGAGTTGGTTTGGCAAATCTACTTCAGAAGTATCGCGTCAAGACTTGTTCAAGGACACCAATTCCATTAGTTCTTTCTCCAAGTTCATCAGTACTCTCTGCTAAAAGTGGAATATGGCTTAGGCTTGAGAAAGTCTGAAAATTCTTTTAGAAGTAGGAAAACCATTTCATTATTATCATGTAATTGATTCGAGTCTTTTATTTTCCTATTCAATAAAATTATTGTGATTTGTAGAGCATAATGAAATCTTGTAAAATATCTCGAAATAAGTTAACAAAATTTGCCTTCGTCAGTTAAGCCAAGAGTAAAGCAGGTATTATTGTGCGCTTACTCATGTGTTGCCTGCTGATGAAATCCAATGAAAACACTGGAAGATCGCTTTACTTCATGTCAATCATGAAACAACGCAGCATTTTATCATTGCTTTGGTGTTTGTTAATACCGGCTTTTTGTTTATATTGGTGACCGTGATGATTCCATACTCATGCCTCTGTCTTTCGCACACGTCATGGCTAATGTGAGTATAGGTATGTTGAGATTTCAGCCAAAATCCACTATTTATATCGATTCACACTGTCAGTATCGCATCAGTTGAGCTGAGTAAAAGAAGTGAAGAGATTTTGCACGTGATCGCAGTCAAATATTCAATTCAAATAAAATGGTTTGCTTGGATTGTTCAATAGTGCCTCTGAGTTTAATCACCTTAGTGATACTTGGATACTTGTGGGTGAAAAAACAGTTTAGGTTCTTCGAGGACAAAGGCATTCCATTTGTGAAGCCCACGTTTCCCTTCGGAAACCTTTCCGGCGTCGGCAAAGACAGACACATGGGCGTATTTATCAATGAAGCATACAAAGAACTAAAAGGAAAAGATGTCGTTGGTGGTATTTTCTTCTTCACGAGTCCTTCCGTTATGCCATTGGATTTGGATTTTCTGAAACACGTTTTCGTGAAGGATTTCCAGTATTTTCATGATCGTGGAATGTACGTGAATGAAAAGGATGATCCTCTTTCTGCACATCTATTCTCAATTGCCGGTCAAAAGTGGAAACATTTGAGGAATAAGCTCAGTCCGACCTTTACTTCTGGAAAAATGAAAATGATGCACAGCACTCTAATCGCCGTAGCGCACGAATTCCAAAAATACCTGGGCGAGTGTGCTGATAACGAAGAGGAAGTCGAACTGAAAGACGTTCTCGCAAGATTCACAACGGACGTCATTGGAAGTTGTGCCTTCGGAATTGAGTGTAACAGTCTGAAGGATCCAAACACACAATTCCGTGAAATGGGAAAGAAGACCTTTGAACTCAAAGGTTTTGATTTCATACGTATACTTTTCATTACAATGTTTCCAAATATCGGAAGAGCTTTGCGCATGAAAATGAATAAAGATGATGTAACAGACTTTTTCATGAATGTCCTCAGAGAAACAATTGAATATAGAGAAAAGAACGATGTCAAAAGAAATGACTTTCTCTCACTTTTGATACAACTTAAAAATACCGGGAAAATAGAAGGTGAAGATACAGATTTCGGCAAGATTACATTTGAGGAATTGGCTGCTCAAACGTTCCTCTTCTTTGCTGCTGGATTTGAGACATCTTCATCTACAATGACTTTCGCTCTTTACGAATTGGCCAAGGAGCAGGAAATTCAGGATCGAGTTAGAGAAGAAATAAACCGTGTTCTCGGTGAACATAATGGAGAATATTCATACGACGCTTGCATGGAGATGAAGTATCTGGATCAAGTTATTAAGGGTAAGTCTTTAAATCACATATCCTTTTAACCAAATACTTATTCTTTTTCATTGACTTTCAGAAACTTTAAGAATTCATCCGATTGTTCCGAATTTGGTTAGAACTTTGAATAAGGACTACAAAATTCCGAACAGGGATTACGTGTTCAAGGAAGGAACGTTCTTCACAGTTCCCGTCATTGGCATTCATAATGATCCCGACATCTATCCTGATCCTGCAAAATTCGACCCAGACCGTTTCACCGAAGAGAACATCAAGAATCGCCATCCCTTTGCTTGGATTCCATTCGGAGAAGGCCCACGAAATTGCATCGGAATGAGATTCGGAATGATGCAAACACGCGTTGGATTGGCCACTCTTCTCAGCAAATACAGGATCAAACTCACATCAAGGACTCCTATTCCCATGGACTATTTGCCTTCATCTGCGGGCGTACTTTCGCCAAGGGACGGAATGTGGCTGAAGATCGAGAAGGCATAATTTGAGCGTATCCACAGACTGACTAAGCAGTTTCGTGGATCAGTGTTAGATATATGTACATACATATAGTAAAGAGTAACTAGAGAACATTGAAGAATGAGTAAAATAGAATAATTTGCTGAAATTTCCTCTCGAATTGTAAGATTTTTTCTTCTTCTGCGTCTCAGAGTTTCATGAAAGATACTCAATTTAAGATTCTTTATGATCATGCAAAATCCGAATTTTATGGTGAACTTCAATCTCTGCTTTTGGCCTTCATATTTGGCTAAACTTTTTGCTGGTCTTTTTAGGAAGAGTACAGAAACTGAGACACAGCTGGCGCCAAAATATTCTCACTCCACCAAATATTCATGCATTATATGTGCTAGTGAGTAATTTAGTTTCATTTGTGTGTGAGAAACATCAAATTTCGGAGAACGAGTAATAAAAGAGTGAAAAAAAATTGGTACATATATTTTGTGCGTGTGTGTAATCATTAACAGCATACATCCATATGTACGTCTGCTTACATGTATCAAAATATAGCTTTGGGCACAGCAAAAGTCCGCAGAAGTAAATACCTTATGTCCAGTACACATTTGAGGCTTCAGATTTATTTGTTAATCATGCAAATTATCAGATTTTCAAACCAAATTTCATATATTTTTATGTCACTTAAGTGACCCCCATTCTTTAATGTACTTGTTAGTTTTTCTCGTTTTATCATGGAAATACAGTTCAAATTCAGTGTGTGGCAAATGAATTAAATGCATTTTATAGCATAATTTCCTGCTGAATGTACTACCCTTTTTAATTGCTGCAATTAAAAGTCGCCACCATTTGATGTTTCTCCGTTCATTGTTCTGTTCTGTGAAATTTATTTTGGGCGAATTGCAATTGACGCAATTAATTTGACCTCTTCTCGTGGTTTGAATGGTTTTTATGTGCCCAGTGGGTGGATATTACAAAATTCTCACTTTGTTCTTTCCCTTTATCGCAGTCTCTTTAGTGTATACTTTCGAATGCCACATTGCTGAATCATATCTGAGGGGCCTTTTGAATTATCTGCTGCGTAAAAACAGTACTTCTGTGTGGTTGTGATTTGATTAGAAGGTGTATTTTTTCTCGCCATACTCTTATGAGTGTTCCACAATGCTATTTTAGTCGCGACTTGAGTGTTGTTTGGGAAAGATTGTGCTGCCGAAATTCGAAATGGAAGGCTTTGAGAGATTTCTCTACTGGATTTTCACGTTTCTTGCTGTGATCGCGGGAAGTTTTTGGCTTTTCTACTTGTGGTCCATGAGAAAATTTCGCTTCTGGAAAGACAGAGGCATCGCGTACATCGAACCGTCTTTTCCATTTGGAAATACTAAAGGTATATTCAAGAAGATTCGCTTCAGTGTCCTCCTTACAAACCTTTATAACAAGTTCAAGGGAAAGGAGAAGTTTGTTGGACTATATCTGTTCATGAGACCAATTGGAACGACTACAGATCCGGATTTGGTAAAGCAAATCCTAGTTAAGGATTTCAATAACTTCCACGATCGAGGTTTATACCACAACATTAAGGATGATCCACTATCGGGACATCTTTTCACACTCGAGGGTGAACCTTGGAGAGTTTTGAGGGCCAAAATGAGTCCAACTTTTACATCTGGAAAAATCAAAATGATGTTTCACATCATGGTTGAAGTGACAAAGGAGTTGCAAAAAATTGTGGATGAGCAGATAAAGAGTACCAATGAGTTTAACATCAGTGACATCATGGCCCGTTTCACGATGGACATCATTGGGAATTGTGCATTTGGTATTGAGTGCAATGCTTTGAAGAATCCCGACGAGGAGTTGATGGTGTTTGGCAAGAAATTCTTCATACCCAGCCGAAAGCAGATGATGAGACAGACGTTCTTCTCATTGTTCCCGGATCTCGCCAGGAAACTCGGCGTGCCGGCAATTGATGAAACTGTGTCCTCATTCTTTATGCGAGTGATTACCGAGACTGTGAAATACAGAGAGCAGAATAAGGTTGTTCGGCCGGATTTCATGGATTTGCTGCTGAAGCTAAAGAACAGTGGAACAATTGAAGTTGACGGCAAAGAGGAAAAGACTGGATTAATCACCCTAAATGAACTCGCAGCACAATGTCTTGTTTTCTTCCTGGCGGGTTTTGAGACATCCTCAACCACCATATCATTCTGTCTATACGAACTAGCCCACAATCCCGATATCCAGGAGAAGCTCCGTAAGGAAATAATGCAGTCGCTCGAGGAGACAAATGGAATGCCAACATATGAAGCTGTCATGGGAATGAAATATCTTGAAAAAGTGATAAATGGTGAGTCATCCCAAGTCATTTTTCGCCCGGGGTGAATCGGGGATATTCGCTTTATTGACAACGAGTATTTTCTCCTTTATCTTTCCTTTCAGAAACCCTAAGAAAGTATCCAGCTGTCGAGATGCTGGCGAGAAAAGCAAAAAATGATTATCCCATTGAGGGCACTTCAGTCACTATTCCAGGAAATACTCTCATTTTTATTCCCATCTACACTGTCCATCACGATTCCAATATCTATCCAGAGCCCGACAAGTTTGATCCCGAGAGGTTTAGCGAGGAGAACGTGCGGAGCCGTCATCCCTACACATACTTGCCGTTCGGCGAAGGACCCAGAAATTGCATTGGGATGCGTTTCGGATTGCTGCAGACACGCATTGGCATCATAACAATGCTCAGCAACTATCGATTGACTGTATGTGATAAAACTCCCAAAGCTCCACTAGAGTTCATGCCCACAAGCATTGTCCTGAAAGTTCAGAGTGGGATTTGGCTGAGAATGGACAAACTCTGAAGCAAACGCGACTTGAGCCTGCAGAGGAAATAAAAGGCTTTATCCTGTATAATGGAAACAGATTAATCACAGATGAAGCAAAACCAACTGCTGCGACAATTTACATAATCATTCTGGTCCTGACAATTTTAATGACGAAACTTTGTCTATTTAATACTGTCACATGTCCTCAAGACGTTCTTCCAGACATAAACATTATAAAACTTTAGAAGACACACGAACTTTGTCACATGGTCCATTGTTAAAGTTTTGTGTTCAGTATTTGAGAATTTAAACTCAGATTTAAGCTCATTTAAATGTTATTTGAATGTCTCCTGCTTGTGATGTTAATTATGGCGACAATATTCTGCAGTGTTGCTTTAAAATTCAGTTTTGCAGAGACAACTTATGTATACCAAAAGCTTCATCGGATTAATGACAACAACCACATCTGGTTATACATAGGAAAAGGAGATTTGAATTTGGTGGGGTTACATAAGTCTGGAATTTAATGTATTGGTCGATGTTCCACGTGACATTTGTTTTTATTTACTCCACCGTTCGAATATTTTTATTTACACTCATAGTATATAACTTATCGTCGGAAAAGAACCGATGACATCATATAATTGCTCACTACACCATCGAAAGCTGTAGTTTGTATTCGTGCTGTGCAATCTGAGGTGACCAATTTGCAAGTGTTTCTACAATTCACTTTGACACCACAGGTATTTACACCATTTGACATCTACTTTGTCACTTTAGAGGCTCAAGACTCGATTGTGGGTGCTTTTGAAGACTTTCACACGCAAGGCATACGAGAATTCGTGTTTCTTTTATTGCCACCAAACACCTTCGCATTCTGTGGACAATTGAGACATGACTCAGGCAAATTGTTTATGTGTACGTGAACATTGTAGATAAATTTATACTCACATAAAGCATCTTGAGCCACAATTTTGGGGATCCCGCTGAGCTTTGAGTATTATACCTACCGAAACACCATTGCGAGAATGGCAGATGAGTGTGAGAAAACACAAGAGCTTCTGGCATTGAGTGAAAAATTACCATTTTGTCCTTCAAGAGGATTGAGCTTAAGCATTTTCAATGTTATTTGGTGTCCTATTCAAAGTGAATTACAATAAGGGGAAACTTTATTGGGGAGAAAGGGAGCTCTTTGAGCGATTTAGGCCCTAACTTATTTGTATGACAAAAGGATGGTCAGAATAATAGATTTTGATAATGGAGAGCAGCTAAAGCTCTTGAGTAGCTTAAGTTGGTCACATCACTTCTTTTATTTTTTTTAGTAAAACTTTATTGCCGTTTTTTCAATCATTCAGTTCAACATAACCACCTGGAATACATGTTTTGGATAGAACGCAATATATTTCAATGGAGAATATAAGCTATTTCATTATCATCACACTGTGTTCACATTTGTGCCATTGCTGATAAATTTGTATAAAATATGACCAGTTCACACAATAAAGATTTAATTGAACTGGTTTCTTAAGAACATAAGAAATATTTTTAAATATCAACAAATAAAAGAGACGAACACTTCAAAGATTAATGTGATTTCCGGAGATATTTCAGTAGCTCTCCAGACGTATCAGTGAGAGGTTTGTTTTGCAGTCCGTGAAATTGTGATAAAATTTTCCACTGTGAATTTTGCACAGAAAATGACTTTTCTTCACATCTTCACTTTTCTTCTCTGCGTGATTGCATACATTTGGTACCGCGTGAGGAAAATCTTGAGTTATTGGAGTGATAGAAATGTGCCAGTGATTAAGCCATCATTCCCTCTGGGGAATCTTGGGGAGGTTGGCAAGAAACACTTGGGCACTGTCATAAAAGACATTTATTTGAAATTGAAAGACAAAAGCGACTTTGCGGGCTTCTACTACTTAATGACACCCCAAATTATACCATTGAGCTTGGACCTCATGAAGAATATCCTCATCAAGGACTTTCAGTACTTTCCAGACCGTAAAATTTACTACAATGAAAAGGATGATCCGCTTTCTGCCCACTTGTTCGCCATCCGTGGAGAAAAGTGGCGCGCCTGGAGACAACAATTGACACCCACATTTACATCAGGCAAGATGAAGATGATGTTTCCAATCGTGATTTCGCAAGCTAAAAATCTCCAAAACTACATTGAGAAGAATATGAATAGAGGTCCAATGGAGTTCAAGCATGTCTGCGTTCGCTACACAGCGGACGTTATTGGCAGTGCTGCATTTGGTCTGGACTGTCGAGCACTGTTTGAGGAAGATACCGAAATAATCCATGTCGGAAAGCTTTTTTTCGCTTTCAACACTTTTATCGAGAGATTCAAGTTCTTCTTTGGAATGATTTGTGAAAATTTCTCGAGAAAACTCGGCCTCAGGTTTAATCATCCCGACTTGGAGGAGTTTTTCATGAGGATCATTAAGGATACCATTGACAAACGCGATGCTGGTCTAATTGATAGGAATGATTTTATGAAGCACTTACTAGAAATAAGGGATTCTGGAAAAGGCAATAATTTAACATTCAATGAATTGGCAGCTCAAGCTTTTGTGATTTTTTTCGGAGGCTTCGAGACATCGTCCAATACAATGGAGTGGTGCTTATGCCTCTTGGCTCTTCATCCTGAAATTCAAGATCGCGCACGCGACGAAATCAGAGAAGTCATGGAGAAATGGAATGGGGAATTATCATATGAAGCTGTCCAGGAATTAACATACCTCAGACAGTGCATTGATGGTGAGATTTATTGCACATTTCTTTAGACATCTTAAACCTACTAGTCTTAAAATTGCAATTACTTTATTTTCAGAAACTCTGAGACTATATCCTCCAGCTACTGTACTATTCCGTCTTTGTGTGCAAGACTACAAAGTCCCAAATTCAGATTTCATCATCGAAAAGGGCACTCAAATTTTCGTACCCTCCATGGGTATTCATATGGATCCAGAAATCTATCCCGAACCTGAGGTCTTCGATCCTGAACGCTTCACTCCGGAGAACATCAAAGATCGCCACCCAATGGCGTATATTCCCTTCGGTGCTGGACCGAGAAATTGCATTGGTTTACGATTTGCATATATGCAAATGACCGTTGGACTTGCGTATATACTTCACAACTTCCGCTTAACCCTGAATCCTAAGACCAAAGTACCACTAGAGATTGATCCCGAACATATTGTCGTCAGTCCTAACGGCAGCAGTTGGTTAGACGTTGAAAAGATTATTTCCTAAATCATGAGATCAACAATAAATGAATATGCTGGAAACTGGTTATTGCCCTAATAAAAAATACTGTGTATTAGTAGATAAATTTTGTTTTGATCTTTCAATGTGCATATAATGTTAAATAATGATGATTGTCCACATTAGGAGTTGCCACGTGCAACAATGGCTTCCATATCTCGGCGGCCACTTAGAAAGTGTAGACGATAAGATTGCGGCAGTTTTATCACAAAATATGCTCGATCATGCAGTCATGCTGATTTCGTCGAAAACTGGATGAACGTGCACTTTTGGGGAACGCAAAATCGCAATCTACAAAAATTTTTGACAATTTTCTGCCATTGTTGTGGCAAGTGAATGGCCTTTGGAGTTAAACAACAAACTCATTGGCGAGAGCACATGCTTTACCAATATTGTCAATCACCATGACTTTGACTTTCAGCTTCACACACTTATGTATGTTTTTACCTGGCGCTCCGACAAAATCAGATTTTGTGTTTTTTTGGTAAAGCAAATCTTCCAATTGAGATAAAAATCACACATGTGCTAGTCTATGTTTAATTCAAAACAAGAATGGTGTCTAGCTTGTTCTGGTGTTGGTAAATGAAGCTCGTGAAGCTTATAAAATGAGCTTGAACATTCAAGTTCTAGTCATTAGAGCTTCGAATTGTGCTGGGAAAAGACATAAATCATTATTTGTGTGAAGTCAGTGAGTTAAGTCGCCATTTTCGCCATGTGGTTCTATCTTCTGGTGGGCGCTATTGGCCTTCTGTGGTACTATATGAAGAAGTCGTATAGCTACTGGGATAATCTAAATGTTCCAGTTCTACCACCAACATTTCCCTTTGGACACTTGGATCCGTTCGGAAGAAAGCACTTCGCTCAAATTCTCAAAGATGCATACGATGCATTCAAGAAGAAGTCCGACTTTAGTGGATTCTACTTCTTGACCTCACCTAGACTCATTCCACTGAACTTGGACGTCATTAAACACATTCTAATCAAGGACTTCAATAACTTTTCCGACCGACAAGTGTACTACAACGAAGAGGATGATCCTCTCTCGGCTCACTTGTTCAGTCTCCGTGGCGATAAATGGCGTTCCTTCAGACAGCAACTCTCGCCAACCTTCACGTCTGGAAAGATGAAGATGATGTATCCTCTGGTTGTTGGTCAAACCGAGCCTCTTAATCAGTATCTGCGGAAACACATGAACAGTGGTCCGATGGACTTCAAGGCTGTTTGTACAAGGTATGCCGCTGATGTGATTGGAATCGCAGCTTTCGGGATCGAATGCAATTGTCTGAAGCACGAGAAAACCGAAATCCTCAGGATGAGCGACCTTTTCTTCAACTTCAACACCATCATGTCTCGACTGAAGTTCTTCTTCTTCCTGACCTTCGAAGGTTTGGCTAAGAAGATGCGCCTTCGCTTCAATGATCAAGAGTTGGAGGACTATTTCATGAGAATTATCAAGGATACTGTGAAACATCGCGAAAGTGGAAAGGTTGATCGCAATGATTTCGTAAAGCTCTTGCTTCAAGTGAAGAATAACAAGGAAAACTCCGTTGGGAACAAGATGACATTCAATGAGATGGCAGCTCAAGCCTTTATCTTTTTCGTTGGCGGCTACGAAACCACATCCATGACCATGCAGTACTGCTGTGGGGAGTTGGCGAGGAATCAAGACATGCAAGAGCGAGTCCGTCAGGAAGTTAGAGAGGTCTTGAAGAAGTACAACGGAGAATTGACTTATGAAGCTGTTCACGAACTCACATACTTGAAGCAGTGTATTGATGGTAAATATAGCTTAATATTTTTACTAGATTAAATCTAAATTGGTGATGTGCTTTTGCAGAAACACTACGAATGTACCCGCCTGGATTCAACTTGTTCAGAGCAGCAACAAACGACTACAAGGTTCCCAATTCTTCTCTGCTCATTCCGAAGGGAATGCAAATCTTCATTCCTGTGTATGCCATCCACATGGATCCAGAAATCTACCCAAATCCCCACATTTTCGATCCTGAGCGCTTTTCCGCGGAGAACGTACAAAACCGCCATCCGATGGCACACATTCCTTTTGGCGATGGACCGAGAAATTGCATTGGAATGCGATTTGCCATGATGGAATTAGCTGTGGCTATTTCAAACATTGTCAACAACTTCAAACTCACCCTCAATCCAAGAACTCAGACACCATTCAAGTTTGATCCCAAGGAGATTAACATCTATCCTGAGGGTGGCATGTGGATTGATGTGCAGGAGTTGAAAGCATGAAATAGTCCCCAAGGATAAAGCATGAGAAAAGTTCCAGCAATAGCGTGTGAAAATTCTTTTCTAACCGAGAGCAAATATTTCTTCAGAAATAAATTAAATAGAGATGGCTTTTAAATCACCACAGTAGAATTCATCTTTGCCGAGAATATTTCGTGAATTTTCATTTCATATCATTTATCGAGACAGTTCAGTATTTATACCTTCTGTGATTCACGTAAACAAATGCAATGGCCATCCATTATGCTATACCATCATAAATTCTCTCGATTCGCTCAATGTTCTGAAATATATAAAGTGTCATGTGGGATGTGATTGAATCCCCAGGAGTCACTTCATCTTTATTGATTTATTTGCAAATGGAACAGGAGAAAATATGAAATGCGAGAATGTTTTTATATTTCATACGCTCTACAAGAGCCCAGTTCACAAAATTATCTATGATTTTCCATTTGATGAAAACACAGATACGCAATAATATTGCAAATTTCATCCAGATATATACATCCTGCAGTCTTTGATGTTTGAGAATTGCAGAAATACATTTGATTTTCTCTTAAAGTCTATTTGTTTGAAGGTTTTGAAATTAAGCATTTCAGCCAGGAATGAAAATATATTCATCTGGTTTTGACATTGTGGTGAATTGTGAGCCGCTTTATTTGTAAACTTTGTTAACTAAACTTTCTTCGTTGAGAAAACTTTCAAATGTGTCATTAACAAAATATTGGTTTACATCACAGGATGATTTGCTTCTCAAAGAAGAGTTTCGAAATTGAGTTACAATCCTCAGAAAGATCTGGTCATTAGAAAATCTTACCCAAGAATAGATTCCTTTGGGGCATTCTAAGTGGGTATATAAAAGAAAATCCACCCATGAAATCATGCTATTCACACAGATTTTTTTTTGTCAGCTGAGTATATTCATTCTGCACAGAGGAATTAGGGATCTCACTGGCAGCATTTAGTGAGAGATGTGAAGATAAATTTTCGCCCTGGTGCTTTATCAAAAGCCTGATGTTAATTGGAAAGTGGTTGATAGAGATAAAAGCTCCTTAATGGACGCTTAAGCTCGTTTTAACATTTACAACCCCCACCATCACAATAAACAAACTTCATTTCCCTCTATCTCTACGCTCTATACGGTGTGTATATAGTATTCTTTTACTATTTGCCATCCAAAAGTTTTCATATTATTAGGGCATGGGAGAGAAAATGCGAGAGGAGGAAGTTTGTTGCAAACATTTCCACTGAGAAACTATCTCAACCATGTTGTTTTCCACTTTTGCCTTCGGAGTCTCTCATCGGCATATACAAATACATTAGATGTAAATAAAACTTTCCCACCATGCTCAGGTATGGCCGGCTAGCTTTGTAGTGGAATTACACGGAATTGCGTTGAGTGATGTAATAAATACAAATAAGGTGAAATAAACTTGTAGGTGTGCGATTGAAATCACAAATATCTTATCGCATATACTGATTAGTGGAAAATTGACGTGGTGGGGAAGAATAGGAATTGGAAAAATCCAAAAATTTCATTTCACTTCGCCATCGCCAGAAAAGAGCAAAAGTTTTCCTTCGGAAAACTCCCCTAACTTCTGAGTAGACTTGAAATGATTCGACGAAACGGAATATTTGAACAAATACTGCAGAAATATTGCGTGAAAAGTTTATTGTTTACCTACTAACGAAACATTTCAAAAATTTCTTAAAGATCCCCAACTCTCTTGCCCGCTTGACTGAGTCCATTGGAGGTCTACCGATTCAATGGGCATCAGTTTCATTTGGCAGACGGTGGATCTCCCAGTGGAAAAGTCCCGTGGAGTGGCTCTCACAGTGTGCACTTGGACGAATGGGTGGATGAAAAATGGTGGAATGCGGTTTACTGGTGATTGTGGTGATTGCGGTGGGTGGAATATATTGGTGGCTGAAGCGGCGTCTATCATTCTGGGCTCATCGAGGGCTGGCGTATGTGAAACCACGTCTGCTGACGGGTAATCTGCGAAAGAAGCGCCATATCGCCCTCACCATCGCCGAGTGCTACACAAAGCTCAGGGCGAAGGCACAATTGGGTGGCTTCTACTTCCTTCAGCGCGCCTGTCTCCTCCCACTCGACACACACCTCGTGGCCAGGATACTCACGGTGGATTCGTCGTATTTCACCCACTATCCCATTGAATGCCCGGATTATGGGGCACTGAAAAGGGATTTTGCCACGATTGAGTCCACTTGGAGGAATCTCTGGAGCCGTGCACTGGACATTGCCCGCGATTTTTCCACCGGTATTCACCAGAGTGAACAGAAAATTGATGCTTTTGATATATCACTAGCATACAATGTTCAGATTCTGGCCACTTGCTTCCTCGGATTCAATGTAAATGATGCCAAATTGCGCAATTTGCGAAAGTTAGCTCAGAAACATCTTAAGTTGTCTGGACTTCGACACAAAAAATACCTCTTACGACACACTTTCCCTCTAATCAGTTCGCTCTTGAGCATATCAGAGCTGGACGACACGGAAAAGTCATTCCATCAGCTGATAAGCATGGAGACAAAGCCCGGCCGAGGCGATAAACGATATCAATGGCTCTTACAGATCACAGAGCCACTCAACGGGGAGAGTCGACGGGAGAAAATTGATTTGGAGAAAATTACGAGACGAGCATTTGGCTTGTTTATCGCCGGCATTGAGGCGTCAGTGGCCACCACGGCTTTCTGCATGTACGAATTGGCCAAGAGTCAAGACATTCAGGGCAAGTTGAGGCGTGAAATTAGGCACATCCTCACGAAGCATCAAGTCACATATGAAGCGCTTAGCCATATGAAATTCATGGATGCCGTAATTTTCGGTAAGTTTGTATACCCTTCGCTTCGCCGCCGCCGAACGCAATCAGGGGGCGACAGACATCGTAATGTTCTCAGAATCTATAAGAAAATCCAATTGAGATAGAGACTAACGAGCTGTACAGAAAATTGATGCTCCCAAGAAGATTCCCAAGATGATTTCCCTCATGAATAAATTCTCTCTGTGAAATAGAAGATTTTTCCTTGGGAAAAATGATAACACCGTGTTGCTGGAGAAAATCACACAGATTTCCTCGAGTTTTCATTTTTGTATTAATATTTCTTCACTGCACGCGAATTTCAGATGTTTATTTCTCTTTATTTCCTTACTCTATTTCTTTGGGGGGAAAAAATCACTTGATGTTCACCCCTTGATTGTGAATTTTATCCGGCTCTTCAGGCAGCGTTGGGTATATTTTATTGCCGTAGGTGAAATAAGTTTTGTGCCTTTTTGCAGAAACGCTGAGAAAGTATCCACCAATTGGGAGCACTTGGCGTGTAACGAGCAAAGAATATTACGTACCAAATTCCACGTACATCATTGCAAAGGGAATTCCTGTCGTTTTGCCGATTTATGCTATCCACCACGATTCGCAGCACTACGCCCATCCCGAGCAATTCAATCCCGACCGCTTTATGAAGGAGAATTCTGACGAAGCACCAGCCAGCATCACGTTCATGCCGTTTGGCCAGAGCGATACCATTTGCATTGAGATGCACTTTGCCCTCATGCAAATCAAACTAATGCTCGTGTCGCTCCTCAAGGAATTCCGCATCCTCTTGCATGGAGAACCCCATCCGGATGCACTCGCCATAAATCCCCGATCGCCCACACTCACGCCCAAAAATCACATTTGGCTCGATGTGCAAAAACTCCAAGATTCTGCAGAAATATGACCATACGCGCACGAGGAGTTATTTATTTATTTGTATCGTGCAGTACATTGCGCGCAAACATGTACACGAGAGAGGAAGGGAGAGAAATGAAGGAATTAAGGTTTAATTTCATGTTTCACTTGTGGTGCTGCGTTCACTTGTCCTCGTGCCCACACCGTAATCTAATCTTTTAAATAAATGTCACAATTTCACCGGAAAGGAACTAAATTAAATGGCTTACAAATTTCCTTCACGCCAGACTTGTTTAAATTATAGATTTGATTGAATATATGTATTTGCTCTTATAATGCAGAAAATGTCATCGATTTTCAATACGATGAGCATTAGAATTTTGAACAATGTGAAGATTTTTATATAGCAAAATAGTGTATTCACGTTGAATGCAATGCTAATCATCAACTAGAGAAATGTTCAACTTTGAAGAGCGCTCAGGAGAAAAATTATTTGTGGAAAATGTCATGCTGTGTGGGAAGAGCGCACACAAAAAATCTTATCATATTCAGCAGAAGTGACTTTTGTCGTGACAGGAAGAGCACCCAGCATGTGTCCTCCTTCACCGCCGCATTCATCCCCCATTCAGTCGCTCACCACGCAGCTTTCCTTGCCATTTCACATGTGATCCACGAAAAAAGTTGTCCCGTGGAAGTAATAATAAATCAGACACACCTCAATTACTCTTTCACTCTCACACTACTCTCTCCCTAATATATTTCACCATTTTCGCAGGCATATTTCATACTTGCATCATAAATTCAGCACCCTAAGATCCAATTATGTGATTGCCATAACTCATCATTTGAACTAAACACTTGTGCTCGCAAGAGCAACACACCACTTATCACATCTCGCCTCTGGGATTTGTTTTTGGACCTTTTTCATCCTGTCTTGATTTTTGTATTGGCAGATTGGAGGAGACCCCCAAAAAAAAGCTGGAGCAGTAAGCTCATGGAAAATTTGGTAATCCCTTTGGTGAAGTGAGGAGGTGAAAAGGGACACAATACATCCTCGGGAGTGTTTGAGGGATTGAAAGAAAAATATGTGTGCAAGGGACTTAGCAATTTATCGATCGATTTCCCATACACTTCACTACCCTCGTATACAATTCCATTCAGGGCTTCTTTTCCGTTGAAAAACCTCCAACTGTGACAATTCGAGAGGGTCAAAGGGAGAAATAAAATTCACGCATGCGAAACTGGCATGCCAATACGTCGTAATTATTCGAGATAGAGCCCCTTTAGTCCCTATAAACCTTGACCTAAATACACAAGGGATGAGAGCCATTCACTTGAGGTGAGCTCTGAGCGAGATAAGGAGACATTTTTCCCACTCACAGAGTGACAGAACGGATGACAGAGATAAGAAGAGTGCTCTTCATTTGGAAATTTAGGAGATTTCCTTGTCTAAGAATCACATTGTCTGCCATTGTTTGACATGGAAACCTCTCTTCGAATGATATTTGCTTGAATCAGAGCCAAACTGTGTGCGGTTTGCGTAAAAGAAGTATTTTCTCCCCTCAAGTTGAGACTCAAGGATTGAGTTTATTAAATCGCAACTTGCTATTTCAAACTCTTGCATTTTTAACAACATCACGTAAAACTCATTCAACCGTGCAATTACATGTTTATAGCATTGATATGGAGGGGGAACTCTGGCGAATTTCTTCGCCTGAACTCCTTACCGAACCCAAAGCATCAACAATCGCAGAAAAAGGGTTTCCGCAGCGGAATCGTAAAGCAAAAGGACCGAAGAAAGTGTGTTTAGGGAGGAGAGCTCGAGGTGAGGTAGTGAATTTTTTTTCTCCATTTCAGACATATTTTGCATGTGTGACGATACAAGAGCACTTAAAGTTGCTAGTATAGAAATACATTATGTCGGAGTTTGTAGATTGAATATAAATTGAGGACAGAAACTTTCCTACTGACATGAAGCAATTGTCGCAGCAGATGTTACACATACAATATACGTGTATATTCATTCTGAATTTATTTACTTTATTACAATTTATTAAAGTACCGTTTACACAATAAATGTAAATTCATCATTCTATATGAGCATTTTTTTCTATAAATTTACACAAAATCACTCACGGAATCTAACCTGAATTGGAGCTGAGCTTTATTTATATAACTCTCATCGGGTTAGTGTTTGCTCTGCCATTTCAAACACCTTGAATATTCATCATTTGACAAATTTGATTCACTCATCTCAAGATCTTATTTACTGAAATTCTCCCGCAAAATTCATCACAGGCACTTCAAAACACGAAATTTCTCAATAAGCTTTTGTTATAGCAATTACAATCCATTGTACGTGATTCTATTATGCCGAAAGGAGAAACACGAGAGTTATAGACATTACCACCAAGGAGGCAATACACTACACGGCTTCCACATAAATAATAGCAGTGACAAAGTGTCATTGACAAACAATGATTAACTATAGGCACTATTATATGCTGAGTCAAGTGTCGCATTAATTATCTCACGTGGAAATATGCGCTGAAAGATCACGAGGAGGAATTTGATACCTATTCAAATAAGTCAATGGAGGCGCCTGGTAGCCACAATGCGTCCCGCTCGCAGGAATTTGGGACATCTCACGTTTGCCAGCATGAAAATTTATGATCTATCGAGCGGTGAAACCACACTGAGTAGATTTTCAATCTCCTGCCGTGCCCATAATTTCGTTACTTTCATTTTACTTTTGAAAATTCGGGACTGGATTTCCCAAGTGGGAGAATAATGTCCGAAATATTAGATAAAAGCCTCCTCCTCGAATATTATGGAGTTCTATTGAATTTAAACCCTCATCAGTGGCTTTAGGATTTCTTTATTACATTTCTCATGGCATAGCTGTTCGAGGGGCCGCGCTAACCACTACTTTTGTGCCCGAATCTAACCCAATTTCGTGGAAAAGAAAATCAAATATAGAGAGTCCCTTCGTGTGATCCGTGATTGTGATGAAAAGTCTTTGTCACTTCCACTTGTTTGGGTCTCCCCCTATATGGGGTTCTAATTAAATTATATCGTGCAATTCTCATGGAAATTACAAGCATAATTTTCCCTCGTCTTCTGTGGCGTCTGAAAAATTATAAGGCAACACGACGGGAGTAATAAAGCAAAGCGTCGGACTCAACAGAGCACGAATATTTTATTCAGCATGAAATTAAATAGTTATTCATATGAGAAGAGGCATTTTCCAGACGCCGTATAGTAATTTCCCAACCAATTTGATGCATGAAAATTACAAAGTTCGGAAATGAGGCGCTCAAGTTGAGGGAATGTATTGGAAAGTTCATGCTTCTCACCTTCGGTAGAGGAAGCACATTTCAACCTCTTTAGCCATGTGAATTGATGTGCGAAAGAAAGGGTAAAGCTCTGATAATTAGCACTTAAGGTAGCGCCCAAAATGTGAGAAAATTGAAAGTAAATACAATCACTGAGCTTTGGATACTGAAGAAAATTGTTTTTTGATTGTTTTTCCACGCCCCTCCTCATTGCCTTCCACGAGAGACATATATCCCATTGCGTTTGACCTAGACAAGGGAAAAATTAATTCTACCCTCAAATAACCTTAGCAAAATATTTGCCGAGAGATTAACACGCACAAGTCCCGACAATAGCAGCCGAAAAGAATACGCGCTGAATGGAGCGATAGGCGAACGTTTCTCTTCCATCCCCTAATAAAGAATTAAATTAATACGCGCTTTTTCTCCCTGTCTCAGTGCTGCAATAAAAGAAAAGAAGAAATAAGGCGACAGGGAGGTTTCCAGAAAGCCACCCCAAAAAAAGCAGTCAAATTGCGCTAAGGATAAATAAATTCACGAGCACAATATTCATTGGCTCGAAGGAGCATGAAAAAGCTCTATACTGAAAAAAAGCTTCATTGTCTCTCATTCGTCCTATATAAATTCACAGAGCGACCTTAATTTGTGTTTATTCCCATATTTTTTTCCTCCTCCCGCAGAGCTATATGTTTTGGATTCTAGTCTCAACCTAGTTTCCCACCCCGAAGACGCTTCCATTCAGCTGGAGAGACTTTTTTTTTCATCAGGCCTGTGGAGTGAACTTGAGGGGTTGCGCTGCGAAGTGTCCCACTCGCAAGGTCATGTTTATCATGATTAAGAATAAAGGGTGTGATGGATAGCTTGGAGGAATCACTTCTCGACTGGTGGAAGCAACAGCCCAGCTTAATAACGCTTCAAATTCATCATATGCTGAGCACGCAAAAATGCTAATTTCACCAGTGGAGCTTTCATAAAGAGATTAAAAAGGGAAATTTTGATGCTTTCAAGATTCAGTATAGAGCTTTAAATCGGGAATAATAATAATAATATTAGGTAGGATTTATATAATTTTCAAATTGTGTGGACTGTTTTCTCTGATAACGATTTAATTAATAATATGAGCGAAAATAAATCATATAATTTGTTAAATTGATTGCACTCACATTATTTGCGTTTAATTTTTCAAATCTGATTAAAACAATTATTATAATATCATGCGAAAGCAAAAGTATGAAAAATAGTAAATAATGACTATTTAAATAAATTACACAATAAATCGGATAAAAAATATGGCAATTTATTTAAATATTTTTAACCCTCTTCTTTTCCTAGCATTCCGCTGCATAAAGCTTTGGGAAAAAAATGCACATTTGTGAGGTTCCCAGATTTTCTTTCTGTCACATACAATTTTGACATGAGCTGAATTTAACTAAATCACACGTTTTCACCATGATTATTATACATATTAGATATTGTGCTCTTGATTAGCTCATAATCATTACGTTTCGATGCCTTTTGTGCCTCATCAAACCTCGGTTCACACACAAAGATCAGTTTACACTGCCTGACAAGTGGGACTGACTTGTCAGGACGACAAGTCAATCTTGCTTGAAGCATCGTCTCTTATATATTATGGTGTCAATCACAGAAAATTTGTAGTGAGCAATCATTTCTCGCCAGAACAGCTCCGAATGGAAATTACTTCCTGGAAAACCGCTCTTTTTCACCTACAATATATTGCAGGAACATCAAATTGTGAGCAATTTCCGAGGTGTTAGCATTTATAGACAGAATATTATGATAGCTATAAAAACTTTGAATAACTCCCTTGTATTTTCTTCACAATAGAAATTGACAAGTCAGTTGAAATGTCGAGAGAATAATTTTGCATAATTAAGAGGAAAGGTGTGATGAGCTGTAAAGGGGTGAATTTTAAACTTTTCCACTCGGTTTTTGTTTGCTAATGAATGCTTAGTAAGGCGAAGAAGAGTACAATTTCCTTGTTCATTCCCGCCATCGGGGAGCAATAACTCAATCATCGGCGCAAATTCGGGACAACTTTCAGGAAAATCCTATCTCTCTCAATTCCACCCAGCAATGCTTATCGCTTAGATGTAAGCAGTGCCAGCACACCTCCCGCTACCTTGTCCCAGGGCACCGGAGCTCTCTTCGTTGTCTGGGTTTCTATGGAAACTTTAGCCCTTTTGTCTCAATGGAGTCGAGCAATCACTACGTTCACGTGGGTAAGGATGATGGTATCCCAAGGGTGGAAGCACCCCCAAAATAGACACTCTCGTCGATATTATAAATAGACCCGGATTTAAGGTGCGATATTTTTTGAAAGCGAACTGAATAGTCTCTTTCTCTTCGCCCTTTTCGCGCCGCACCGGGAAATTTATGAGACTTTAATTTTTGGGCTGAATTGAAAGGCAAAAAAGTACTCACTTTGAATTCCTTGCTCTCCTTTATCCGAATCTGTGAACGGATGACATCGCCGGCCTTCGGTCGTCCCAGAAGGGCCATTTTGTCCTCCTCTGTGAGGTCCTCGGGCGCTTTGGCTTCTGCTTCCTGAACAAGTGACGCTAATTCATCTGAATAACAGACACAGAAAATCAGTTTAGTATGTTTCACTTCAGTCAGATTGTGGGTGAGAATCTTTTATTAATACAAATTACACACGATTATGGATGGGAGATGGAGAAAATGGGGGGCATATAAACAAATCATGATTTTTCAGCGCAATAGATTAATGACTTAAAGGTATAGAAGAAATGCCTCTCAAAAGTTACATTCCAACCATCAACAAGCTCTATCTCATCATCTACAGAGTTTTATATCAAAAAGACAGCCAAGATATGAGAAACAAGAGTTATGACAAATGTGCAGTAAATCTCTTGAAATCTTTCTACATTTATACTATACACTATATGAAAAAGATACCTTTTAAAAGATCAGCCATGTCAAAATAAAACCTTCTCTTCTATTCTACAATGCAAACATTCCACATAAAAACCATAGACTCGTTTTACTCACAAGAAAACTTAAAGGTAAAACAAATTGTCCGAAGAAGGAAGTAAATAAATGTCAGGTAAATGTGTCCCTCTTATTGTTACACCATTGAAAATTAATCACACCACTCCCGATATCATACATATGTACCATTACGTACTCTGTGTCATGAAAATGTGTAAGAATTTGCTGGTGCACCTTCACCAAATTCACGATGGGAAGTCTTTTAATCATTGAGTGGAGCGCGTGGCACGAAATAAATGCTTTTATCCGCCCCAATGGACAAAGATAAATCATCGGTAACCACCCAAAGTCACCCACCAGAAGTTCTTTGTCTCTTCCTCTGTGTTGAATATATGTACTTTCAGGATGTGCAGTGTCTGTCTATGACACTTTACCTTTGACTCACTTTGAGACTTCTTCTCCATACAATTTTCACAAGATGAGAGCAAATAAAAACCAATTTACCATTTTTGACGACACACTCGATGCACAATTGAAGAGAGCATTCTCAATTCACAGTCGGAAAATATGTACGGAATTCTCTTTGGAAAACCTCTTCACATACAGTTCTTGTATATCTTTCTATGTTTCTCAACGTACAGAGATATATTCAAATATGTTTTTGTAAATGGACAGCAATCGAGACAGCAATTGAACCAATGAAGACCATTGATATGGAAAAATTCTCTCAATCCGAGCAAATCATTTTCTCTTCTTATTTCTTTCTCCTTGACTGTTTTACGTTCTATTGCAAAATCTTTACCATAAGTGGCACTCAGTCCAGGAGTCTCGAGGGCAGTCAAAGTTCAATTTTCAATTACAAACCCCACCAAGGAAGGTAGAAAAGTTGCTCAGCGCAAAAAAGATATCACAGGGGAAACTTGTAGGAATGGAAACACCAGACCAAATCGATTTTTATCCATTAGCTATGGATGTGAATGGAGGAAAAAAAGAGGGTAAAACCAAAAGTGTCCATTCTGAACGTGTTTGTTTGCATAAAGCACCTCCGGAAACCATTTCCCACTCTCTCTCTCTCTGTGGGTCAGAAAGCTCGTAATTATTTTCCTCTTCAGCCATAAAGCTTACAATTTGCCAACAAGTTTAGTGAATTTCTGGAGAATTTCCTCAAAAGGGATTTATCCAATTTACCAAAGATTTTACTCAATTACACCTGAAATCTCCATAGAAATGCACTGTATATGGTTTCCCAGATCCCAAGCGACTAATCAATGGTGTTTGCACTGGTGGGAATGATACGTGATGATAACTAGTGTGATTAATAGGTTGTTCCAACAAATTCCCAAGCAGCTATTGAGGCCACGACGGACTATTTGCTCATCCGCCCACCCAACTGCCTCAGCGCAACAATCCCCGTTGTGGAGCATTTCCCGTGTGGGTGGGTCTGAGGATGTCACAAAATGAAAATTGCCGGTATCCTCACTGATAAGCTAATATGAAATTTCCTCACAAAGAACTGCCGGCACAACCCATTTTGTCTACTGTTATCCAGCACAGATAAAATCTACATTATTCTCCGTCCTATCGCTCTCATTCATGTCTTTGGCTCGTTCGCTCAATCACTGTGACTCAAAAGACCGACATGAGCAAATCACAGAGATTTTTCTCCATTTTCCACATATGATTCCGCTCTCCTTCTCTCACCACCAGTGCACAGTGGACCCAAATTGAATGCTTTGCCTGGAATTTTTGCATTCACTGCAGAAAATGATGATGGAGAGAAATTTGAGAAAGATAAACGAAATTCTACCTTATCTAAAAGTTAAATTCACAAAATAAAACTCGCGATTCTTTCTGTTTGGATACATCAGTTGATGTTCAACATATAATGCTAAATCATCACTATTTCTTGATGACGCGATGTTCATTCATAGACGTGTTGAAATGTGGGGTTAGATAAGACCACGAATAACTCTGGCTCTAATATGCATGAAACTCGAACGATTTAGAGTGGAATGTTTTATCTCACCAAAAAGGCAATCATTTATTCTTGTCTATCACCGATCTTACGGAAAATCTTTTATTTGTGCTGATGTAAAATCCCTTTTTGCAATTTTGAGTAATTTGTCTAACTGATTGCCAAGGAAACTCGTTACTTTGGAGATGATATGTATTAAAGAACATGTGGGATATTCGTGGGTTATCCAAATAATTCAAACCCTTCTCATATCCAAATAAATTGTTTCATACAATGAGAAATTAATAATATCGTTTTACACGGACTGTTTGCGTGTTTCAGGGGTTGAAAAAGGATATCAAAATAGGCGTTATATTGTGCGAAGAGAGATCGACCCTTTAAGCATCATCTTCTCATGAGAAGCACACACGGACTATTCAGGCAACTATATAGTCATTCCTGAGGCTACATATAGTTTCATATGCATGTTGAAACATTTATAAGGTGGTGTGGCAATTTTTTGTGATCTCAATGAGAAACAACGATTACCATCTTCAGCTTTTTGCCTTCACTCAGTGTCAGCAAATGTACCACTTTCTGTGAGAAGGAATTGAAAAAGTTCCCTGTATCGCCTGAAGGAATTGTTACATTGATTTCTTGATATGTGTGTTTGTTTCTCTCCCAAGAGGATTGTCATCTTGCAAAATGTCGCACCTGAAGATTATATATCACATCAATCTATCACTTCAACGAAGCCAAGGGGAGACTCTAAATCGCCACTTAATTAGAGGATAGGGTAGTTGAAACTTTCAAGAACATTGTCATGAGTTACACCGCCAAGAATTCACACGATTTCCCACAATGCCCCACCCGTTAAAGTTTCCTCTGAGCAATTTTACAGAAATGTTTGTCGGCCCAACAAATTATTTAAGTTGTCTATCGATTCAATTCTGAAACTGAGTATTTGCAGAAGAAACTTGTCTGGATGGGAATTCCTGCTGCTCCAGATCTTTGTCTGCTCTATGCCAAGGAAGAGCTCGACGAAAAACTTTTGGCATCCTTTGCAGCGAATCCCGATTTGAAATGGCTGGAGGGGCTTTTAATTTGCAAATCGAACATTCTAAATCACATCCACGCAAGTGAAGACTAATGGCAATAGTCGATTTATTTATTTGCACTGCTCTTTGGCGCTCTACTTCGAAAATGCAAAACATGCATTTTAAAATAGCGCTTCATGGGAAAATCAATTTAATTAAATATCGCATAAACTCTTTAATTTTGCCTTTTTTCTTTAAATTCATAATCTGTTGTACGACAATATTCCTTACGAACTCCTACAGCCAGAAATTTTGTCACACAACACAGACTTAAGAGTCTCAGGAGATTTCCCGAACAAAAAAAGAAGAAGCCCGAGAGAAAACACAGAGAATCTTGGCAAAATGACTGCAGGTCGTAAGATTGTATCCTATAGAGCTTCTCTCTGGAGAAAATCACGTAAATTGCTGGACTTTGTTTATATTTGACTTTTTCTTCCTCTTTTCTCTAGCGCTTTTCTCCCGTCTATTCAAGAGCACCGCCACTTTTAAGTGCTTAGATTCAGTAAACACGCCTTGAAAAATTCATTTTCCACGCCAAAGAGATTGGGAACTTGACTTTTTTTTCCTATGAATCGCGCCATTCTTCCATGTTTACCGCGATGCTGTCCAGATTGTAAGTTTCTGTATGCGTCGCGAGGTTTTTTCCCAAATGTCGTCATGGACGAGCAACGGGAAAATTGCCAAAAGCGTTAAATTCCCATGGCAAAGAAGAGGTTTTGCAGACGTGGCCTGTGGAAGTCTGTCTGAATAAATTTCCGTACATTTCTCGTGCTCTTTTGCATCCCAAGCTTGTGCAGCTTCTCCACTCTATGTTTCCCCGCAAAAACGAGAATATGTTGGCGGAAAGTTGAATTAAATGCAACATTATACTTAAATTTCTCCCTCGACCAATGCGTGAAAAGGTAACATTGAAGGGGACTCTGGAAAGAGCAAGAGCCCAGAATGGAGACTTTTTGTGGGTAGTTGCGCTAGTAAAAGTTTTCCCTAGCGGAAATATCGTTGGTGACTTTTAATGAGTGCTCGAGCAGGCGACAAAAGTGTCCTCCATTTCCTCTTTCTCTCTGTGGGAAAATTTCCCCGAAATGACAAATTAATTTACAAAATATTGCACTTGGCCGGAATATAAAAGCATTTCCTGGAAATTTGTCTAGATAAATATAGAAGGAATAACTTGACGATCAGATATTGTCTTCTTCGCCCAACTTTTTTGTCCACTGCACAAAGGTGTGTTTACAGAGCCGTGAAATTTTGCCAGGAAATCTCGCTCACACACTGAGCCGTGGCTTGAGACATCACAGGAGAAAATTGTGGGCCGACAGATTTTCCCCGTCACAATTTTTACCCATAAAAACGTCCAACATGGAGCAGAAAATTCGGGCATTTTTCACGCTAAACCATAACACTCACGCCAATTTGCAGATACTATTTTCCACACCATTGACCATCGCGGCGAAATGTGGACAGAGAATATCAAACGCCACTGACGTGATTCTGCCACAAGACATGAGGAATTTTCGGTGGAATTTCATCCTATCAGCTTCTTCAAATGGTGCAACAGACGAACGCCAAAAATAACCACACTAGAGCAACTTGTTAGGCTGTGGCCGAAATGTTCCATTCAAATGAAGTGTGTATAATGAAAATTGCCTCAATATAATTGGTTCGCGACTGTAACACATTAATAAGTCGAGACAACTGTGAAGACAGTTTTATAGTATAATCTCCCTATCCTTCAAATTGTGGTGGGAAAGTCACTTTTTCTACAGATGAGAACTTGTGACAGTCAAAAAGTGGAATAGTTTCCGATGGGGATTAATATTTGTTTTAATTTCTGGTCTCATGGGAGTAGCTTTATTAAATACTGAAGGAGAAATTTAAGAAGCAGTATCAATTCGTGACTAACATATCTTAGTCATTCACTAAAATTAGGACAGAATGGGCTTGAGGAGCAGATTAAAGAGAGTAGAGAGAGAGAAACAATATAAATGTGGATAAATAGAGCACAACAGCAAGTATTCTTTTCTCTGCTAAATGTCTCACATCGAAAAGAATTCATTATTTCTTGGACTGGTACATCTCTTTCATGTTTTTTTTTTGCCTTATTAATATTAACTAATTCCGTGTCTTCTTACATTGGTTAACGCCCGACATCTTACGATATCCTGGCCAGAAGCGCTCAGCAACTCGACCTGCCCATGACTTTTCTAGAAAATATACATAAAATTTAGTGTGATATTCTTTCTCGTCGGGCGGCTGAAAGTGAACGCAATGGAGTCATCTGTATAAAATTAATTTTCATCTGAAAATATACATTCAATTGGTTCGCAGAAGCATTTTCACGTCGCTTTTCACGTTGACAAACATTCAATGGCAGTTTCACGAAAGACATATTTATGTTACTCATGTAAATACTTCCAAGATACCATAGCGAAGATACACAGAAGAGACATTTCGATGCCGGTATGAAGCTGTAACATTTTTAACGAGTTAAACTCCATAGAATGGATAAGAGGGTACCGAAAGTCAAGGCCGAGAAAAGGGCTCTTCATGAAGAGTGGTTGTTTATATTGTTCAGGAGTGGCAGCGAAATTCAAATTAGGGGTTGGTCACAAGCAGTCCATTCAGAAAATTCTGAATTAATTAATTCATATTCAGTGTGTCACTTTAACTGTCAGATTTAGAACCAAAATATTAACACACCCATTTATTTTCATCTGACAGTTTTCTGCTTTATTTACTTGTTTATGTGCTGATTGAGGAAAAAAAAATTAAAAACAATATATTTCCAAGAAAATGTTTGAATATCGTGGATGAGTTGTTGAACCTGAAGTTTGACTCTATCAAGAGATTAATTTTATACTCAGGGAAAAAAATTCAGTAATTATTAGGCATTTAACGTGACAGTTAACATAAAGTTATTTAAATTCGCACAGTGAGTTTCAAAGAAAATTTGTTAATCTTTCATGAACTTTCTTTTCCGTTGCTGGTTGAATTTTTATTATCTCTCAAAACTCAGGAGAATCACTGCAAAGTCGCTCGAAACTAATATAATTCTATATTTTCGCAATTCACACAAATTTTACAACAGAAATTTATAATTGATTTTTGGTTTGAGTTCTGAAAGACTTGTCGTTTGCCACATGCCAATCAAGTATTTGATGTGGGCACAAATTTCATCCTAATTCTCTCTGTTAACAACATCATTCATTCGAGGTCTTCTCATTTGCAGGCTTATTGACAATTCTGTCTGAATTTCCCCGTATTTGTTTGAAATCGACGCCAGATTATGAGGGATTTCCAGTCATTTCAATGGCTGCTGGTCGAATGATTTCCATAAAAGTACACAGTGGGGCTGATAGTTCTGCTCGTGACCACCCCTTCAGTTTGATACTTGTGAATAAAATGTTATTAAAAATAGTGTATGTGCCAGACATTGTATTCCGAGACAATAAAGAGCAATTGCAGCGTGTTGAACTTTTTGCCAGTGTGTTTGTAACATTAAAAGGGAAGAGAACACCAACAAGACATAAAGCAATAAAAATTCAGCATTATAACCAAAACGAACGAGCGACTGGAAGTAAAAGCAAAAGACATTTATTGTTCCGATGATAAATATGTCTCACACAGAGAGAATTTCATAAGGAAAATTTGTGTGCAAAAGTTTTGGGCAAGAGAGACTTGTAATTTCCTCACAAATATTTAGAAAGAACGGGTGGACGGAAGGCGGAAAGTGTGCGAAATGTGGAAAGAATAGCGTGTGTGTGTGTGTGTGTGTGGTATTGAGAAGCAGTGGAAATCCTCTTTAGCCTTTTTGCTGTGGTCTTTTTGTATTGGAAGCCCCACAGATGGAGACGCCTGGTTGTCACACAGTTGTATTCAATTAAGCGAATTTATGTACACGATGCATGAGGTGAAAAGTGAACAAGCTACGGAGAAATTGCTGTGCACTTGACAGGGAGGCATGGTGCGTCACAAGAACAAAACACGAAATGAATTATAATTGCCAAGCCTGTCGCTGAATAGAATAGAATACTTTGTCACATGATATACAAAAATTGTGAACAAAGGGGCCGAGTAGTATAGAATTAGGGATGGTTGTCAGCACCCCCAATAGCTCCACCGCAGATTTAATTATTATTTAGTATTCGTGAAACGAGGTTCATCAGAGAAAGCTACTTCTGTTGACGAAGCTTTCAGCATGCCACTTTTTCTGAGCTCTCCACACACGGTTTTGACAGTGAAGAATGCCTCGTTTATACACTGCAAATTGTTGTGTGAATTACTGAGCATAATTGAAAGCAAGCATCTTTCTTCAAGGGGTGTACGAATTATAAGAAATTGATCCGAATTCAATTTAATTTCGAGATCGAGCTGACAAAAAAACTCAATCTACGTTAATTCATGTCAAAGTGCTTAAATTCACAGTAGATTCGGAAATAGTGCAATCAGTTTCGCAGCCGCACACCCCTTTTGCACTATAGACTGAGCCCCTTGAACACATTTGTCCGGTTTTTGTGTTTAAATGCAGAACATGTGCAAGAAAACTTATTATTTCAGCGAGACATGCAATTGCCTAATACTAATTAACATAAGCCATACGATTAAGCTGTTACAAATGCGTTAGAGAAAATTCATTTACAATTCAATTTGTGATTGTTACAGAGAGCGGAATAGAGAAATTATGGGTGAAGAAATACGAATGACTCTCTAAAGATAAGAATGCTTAACTTCAAAGAGGAATGTTCAAAGTTAAATGTAAGTTCATAGTTCAATATAGAGTTAATATAGAATAGGTGAAGCTTTTACGTGACAAAAGTATATGGGAATATAACAGAGAGCGTTAGAGAAACAGTCTTCATATCGATTTTTACTTACAAAATTCAGCCATTTTTATTTGTTTTCATTATCCATATTTTTCGGATTATGCATTCATTGTGTATTTTTGCCAAGTGCATTTTTTTGCATCGTGTTCAGTCAAAGAGCGGTTAACACCCAATTTTTAGTGATGATTTTAAAAACGGAAAATAAAAGGAAAATTCATCAGAAAAATAACAATGACACGTAATTATTTTCTCGTGGTGTAATAAAATTTTCGCCGAATTATTGACAGTTTTTAGTCATTTGCACAAAAGACAAACACAAAAATTAAAATTATATTATTTTTTGTGGTGTTTTAATGTCCCGTTCATATCGCGCAACACATTTTGGCACATTAAAGAAGACAGATAGTGAAAAAGAGCACAGAAAAGAGAAACATAATTTGATATATTGTAGCGCAGCAGCAGCAGAAGTAGTTATGTAGTAGCGAGTAGTATGTTTTGATTTTTATACGAAGATAGAAGTAGAAGCAGTAAAAGAAAAGAAAATAAAATAAATTAAATACACATTAATTTGTCGAAAAATGTCGAAAATACATGATGAAACTTGAGAGAGAGAAAAATGTTGCCTTCATCATTGTACAAAATATGCAAAATAATAAATCTGATACGCAAGATTCGCATAAGAATTTCAATATAAATTAAACATATAATTAGGAAGACGTGTAAAATTTAAAATTCAATTCATAAAGAAGTGCTTTCTTGTTCAAACGAGGGTTCTTTTCTCTATATTATTGAATTCATCTTCTTCTCAATTTCTACACAGGCAGCAAAATTTAATCTGATAAATGAACAAAAAGACAAGAGGGAAACAACGTAATAAACTTAGAGTGTATTGATAAGAGAAACAGAGAGAATATCTCGTTAATTATTCTGCATATTTCGTGAAAAATATCACTTGAAATATTCGCAATAATAATTTAATTATTCCACCACCGATAACAGCCAAATTTAATAACGAATGACTTACCTCCGACCATCTGAGGCTCCCCCAAATTTACATACAATAGCACATCCTTTTCGTAGCTGCCCTCCTCCAGGATCACGAGAGGAATCATTTTTCTATGAGTCGCCCACGCAGCAGGAGCCAGAATCGAGAAAGAGAAGAGGAAAAGAGCCAAATTTAAATAAAGAATGAAAGGATACTTGAGAAGATGTTGCAAAAACACGAATTTTCCTAGGCAAACTCTTCACGTCAATATCTTAAAGTGTCTAGGAAAAATTTTTCATTTATCCAAGGCTGTCCAATATAATTTAGCATGGAGTCTGAAATAAAAAAATTTTCCACGCACTGCTTTCACTCTTTGCTTTCTAATAATTTTCACTGAAGAATAAAAGAATCAAACACATGATTTTGCGTATTCATGAGTTTGATCGATTTCTAATCTGCAAGGATAAGTGAGTGAGACGCGCGAAAGTGAGAGAAAGACAGAGAAAAATGACATAAATATCATTATGTATATCTTGATGTGCCGAAAGCTCTCGTAAACTATATGCTACATAGAATAGGGAACAAATCCCACAAAGCGCGTCATATCAATTGAATTCAAGTTTGACTATACAAATAGATTTGAGCACAATGCGATGAGAATTGACACCACATGCACATATTGAATGAAAGTCATTGAAATTTTTGAAATAATCTCCCACAGAATATCACCATTATAATTATACCATGCAGACTGTTCTCTTCATTTTCTAAAAAAAAACAAAATCTAGAGAAATTTGATACACAAAGGATCCTTAACTCTGATATTTTCCATAACTAGATATAAGTATTCATGTTATGTATATACATTCACATATCACTTACAGTCGATTTTTTCTCTTCATCTTCCTGGGTATGTGTTTTTCTGTCATTTGAAGACACTTTTTGTAAAATTTCCGTTTTTTATATTCTCCCCATCAAGCCAAGGGCAGAACAAGTATCTCACGATTCAGAAAAATTTCCCCAATATTATACATGCGTATATTCACATGCATATATCCATGTTTATATGTTAAATATGTCTATTAATTTCTCAAATTTCAATATCAATCGCCCTGTCAGTGGCTTAGCAAATTGGGAAGAGTGACGAGAGATGGTGGATTTATGTTTCATTCAGTAATTGGGTGCAAGACATGATAAACATTATGTATTTTAGTGTGAAATTGTTTCACTCCTGGCAAATTTCACATATAAATATTCATCGTTAGCGAGGCAACATTGCAATGAAGTGGAACTAATTATATGCATTCTATACCACCGAATACATATCCGTGGCATAAAGTTCCTGATATATGTGCAACATTGCATCCACTTTTCCGCTTTTCTTCGTTTGAAAATTATCACAAAATATTTGCCATTCTAAGCTGGAGAAATGACTAAAATGCCATCCTTTGAATTTCAATTTTTCTTCCCTTCTTTGTTATCGCATTCCACTCATCGCATTTCAACGGGTCTCACAATCTCGCAACGCCCTCCTCATTTTCATTCGCAATCATCACAAGAAATTCGAATAAAATTACAAAATATTATGAATAATTCTCCAATGAGTTTTCTTATTTTCTCTGCCGATTTCTTTAAGCACACCACAAAGACGAGGGTGGAAAAAGGCCCCGCGAAAAGTGGATAGACCGAAAAAAGCGCAGAAGAAGCTTTAAAGGTGAATTGATGTGATTCTTAGTCTACCGTTTATTATTCATGCGGGAGCAGAAATTTCATCAATGGCGTTATATAAGGAAGAATTTATTGCTCGTCATGTGAAACTTTCTATCCGTGCTGATGCAATTAAGCTCCTCACCACTTTAATCAATTTCCCAAGAAATTCTTCTAAAATAAAAACTTTTACTCATGGCTGCTTTTTCATTCCCTTCGCTGCCACCTTTTTTCATTCCCATTAGATTCACATTCTTCCACTTCTGCAAACGCTTTTCACCCCGCACGAGCACAGTTTTCACACCGAAAACCCCTCCAAATCAATATTCAATGAAAAATTTATGAGACTCCTGACATGAGAAAGAGCTCACACTGCGTCAATTTTACATTTCATTTAATTTGCGAATGGCAAAAAGAAGAAATCTCATCAATTGTTAAACGAATTTCCGTCCCGATGGACTTTTTAGCGTGTGAGAATCAGCGACACACGAGTGACCACTCCTCAGTGAGGAATTGCCTAAAGAGGGTGATTGTGAAATTTTTGGAATGACTCTCATTTTAGCGATATGACACTTTTATGAGCAATTCTTGTGAAGATGACGAGCCCTCGAATGATGACCCATCGATATTTAAGCCGAGGCGCCACCACAAAAGACGATGAGGCGGGACGAAATTGGAATAGCATGAAAACTGAATATGGTCGATCAAGGGGTTGCTAACTCCGCGAACGACTGCACAGACAAAGATTCAGAGATAACTTCCTAAGTGAAGAACACCGCAAATGACTGTAGCTATCGGCCTGTCGTGTCGAATTTTCAGCCAACCCCCTCTATAACTCTCATGGATTGTCATAAATGTCAGGGCAAAAAATGACAATTCGTCTCATGGGACAGAGATGAGAAAAGTGTCCCCAAACGTCTCATATTGTGGTTACGGTTCTGCTGATGTCGAAGGTGCCACTGAATAAAGGTGAAGTGCTTCATGAAATTTCACGGCAAACACCCCGAGGTAAAAGGTTGATTTGTCAGATTTTGCAAAAGAGACAGTTCATTATAGAAATGGTTTTGATGGCGAAACCTCATCTAACTTTGCTATTTACAGCTGACTCACACGAGCAGCACTCCCTCGACTTTTTTTTCCACTGACTGAAGCACGTGGAAATGGTGAGATTTAGGGCGAAAAGTATTCATTCAGCATCGTTTCCATTTATCCAAATTTCACACAAAACCTAATGGATTTATAATGTGACCGTGAGAGCTTGTAAAAGGACTCGATGGGAAATTCCAATTTCTAGTGCACTTTCATGTTAGAATTTTCACCATATCACTCTGTGTGTGTGTTTTAGGATTGTGTATAATGACTGTCATACAGAATTTTGTGAATTTCAGCACGATTCTGATTAAATTTAGTTTATAATCCAATTTATTGTGTTCATGCACAAATTTTGACAATCTCATTTTTCCCAAACGACGGATTAAAAAAAAATCTTCTAAATGAACAACAAGAAGGATATTTGGTTACATCATTTTCCTGTCACCCTTGGCGAAAGGAATATTTGATTTTTCTAGCTGTGGTTAAAACTTGCGAAAACGACACCAAATGACTCATCAGCAAAGTTGAAAACTTTGGGGCGGCCCTACTCTTTTATCATTTTTCTACTCCGTGTCCTTCTGCAAGACACTCCCATTCACTCTCTTAATGCAAATTCTCATCCTCAAATAGACCTTTTTTCTCTCTCCTTCTGTGTCCTTGCGACCTCCAACTTCCAAGTAATTTTTTCCTCATCACTCTTTGCGGGATTGTCCGAGGCCCAATGATGCTTTAACGCAAATTCAACCGTTTACATTGCGTCACCAGGATTAATTACAAGTATACTTTGACGTGGCAATTTTCCACACTAACACCACAGAAATTGTGATAATATTCGCGTGAAAATTCCGGACTTAATGCGACACCCAATCATGCTCACGATTAATTAAATTGCAAAATGTCACCGAGAAAATTCATCAAAAATTTTCCTTGCGACAAAAAATAATGATGCCCAAAGAGTTTAGGTGTAAACGAAGAGAAGAGTCTCTGTGAAAGACAGCTAGAATGGCGGTGCTAATTAGAAGTTGCACGAGTTGTTTGCTTTTCCGGCGTCATACTTTATCCTGTATCATTAAAAATGTGCTGAAGACAAAATATTGCATAATTAATTTTGTAGAGAATTTTCCACCACTTTTACTCTTGTGGGCAAATGGGTACGACGAATGTTCCGTAGAGCTCTAATTCTTCCAGCTTTCTGCTGAATAAATCACTTCATTTTTCACAAAGCAGAATTTCACTGCGTGAAACGAATGGCAAAATACCCAGATGAAAGCGGGGAATGAAGGAAGGTGTTTTAGAGTGAAGAAGAAATGGATGAATTTACATAATGAGGACATCTGGATTATCCTTTGAAAGTCATCTTGAGAGAATTCACTAGCACTCTCGCGCATCATTCTGACACACTTTTGCCAAATCTCCCCTCCAGTGAAAATCATCGAAACTCCCTCAATTGACGTCTCAATCATCAAGCATTCACCACTGATGCTCTGCTCGTAAAATTGAGTGAAAATGTTGATACTTTATGATGAACTCTTCGGCCATTTTACAGCTTTTCCGTGCGTCTTAAATAAAAAAAAGGCGCAAAAAATTAATTTGGTGATTTTGCTCATCCTCCCCGTCTTAATGAACATTCCAGGGAGTAATTTGATGTCTTATGTAGCTCAGATGGAAATTACACAATCCAGTTTCTTGCCTGCCACCTCTCCCAGAGATACGAATATTAAACAGAATTTTACGACATTCCGCACAGGAGAGATCATAAAAATTACCCATTTCCACGTACATCTTTTCCTCGGCGTACTTTCACTCCCGTGGAAAGTGCTAGGATAGCAAATGGAATTTTATATCTTGACACCAATGAGGAAGTTGAGGTTATATCTGAAGAGCCACACATTTTTTATTTTTATCACCACTCTTAATTACAGTTTAATGAAATTTTTATTTCGCGCAGTAAATTGGTTATGGGAGATGAGAGTCGTTTGGGCGGAAAATAGAGAACTTTAATCATATCGTAACTTTACATTTAATATTTTCCTAGAGATACTACAGACAATTCAGCATCGTTTGACTTAAAGGTGAGATGAAGATTTCAATTTTTTCTATACTTGCAAAATCGAAAATTTTATAACTCTCCCTTCTTTTGCTCACTTTACATATCGCCGCTTTGGCTCTCTGTTTCTGTATGCTTTACATTTGTTTTATTAAAATTAAATTATGTAGAACAAGAAAATGATTTGCATGTTAATCTCTCAATGGAAATCTCTATCGATTTTACATGGGGAGACCTACCAATAAAGTTATCACATTATCATTCAATTGAAGGGTGAGTGTGGTT